GGGGGGGGAGCCTGGAGGGGAGCCTGGAGGGGAGCCTGGGGGGGGGGGGGGAGCCTGGAGGGGAGCCTGGGGGGGAGCCTGGGGGGGAGCCTGGAGGGGAGCCTGGGGGGGGGGTGGGGGAGAGCCTGGGGGGAGCCTGGGTGGGGGAGCCTGGGGGGGGGGGAGAGAGCCTGGGGGGAGCCTGGGGGGGGGGAGCCTGGGGGGGAGGAACCTGGCACTGGGGTCGCCGCCTGTCTGGATATAACAACAACAACATTACATTTGTTTAGCGCCTTTCATGTTAGGAGGACGTCCCGGGGCGCTGGAAAGTTTTCTGACTTGAGGGCAAAATCAAAGGCAACGATTATTATACTTTACTGTTGTCATTGTTGCCCAAATCACCATTCGCATCTCCTGATTTACAACCTCCCCACCACCCAACCCAGAGTTGTGCAATTTCCTCTTGTTTCATTCATTGCACGTTTCTCTTCCATCTGCTGACCCTTGGATTTATGCCACCAGAAATGTGCCTACACATTGATACCGTGCTAATCCTTGTTTTCCCAAAGTAATCTAAATCTATAAAACCTCCTGTGAGTTTTGTCAAAAGTTAAGGCACTGACTGATATGGGGCTGCAGATCTGCATGCAGCCAGCAAATGAACAAGTACTGTATCAACAGTTGCACAGTCATTCCGAATTAAAAATGGATGAGTTACTGAGTTGTGATGAGTTTGCAGCACAAGAATCTTTTGAGGGAGTACAATATAAACTAATAACGAGCTCCCTGGGGTAAATGGTGCCCTTTTCCCTATGTGATCAATGTGTTTCAATGCAGCTGAGATTGTTGGGATGAAATATTTATTTATCTCCTCTGATCCTCTTCTGGATACCCCATGATCTTGACCTGGAAGTGTTTGGTGTTGGCCTTGGGTGCTGAAATAGAAGAGTGTTCCATTCCTGGCACTCACAAAAATAATCAAGAAGGACGCACTTTAATATAGTGTAGCAGTAGGGATGTGTATTGTTAAACTCATTTACCCCCTAACTTTTTGTAATTCTACTATTGTGCAATGTTAACTGCAGTATTCCAGAACCTGCTTCTTGGATCAGTTTGATTTTTAAATGGGCAATGTTACCAATTGATATGGAGCCCAAATTTCGTTTCAGTTTCAACTTCCTAGTAAAAGGTGGATTGCAAAACTGAAACTGGAGGAATGGCTAAACTGAATGCAAGTAAAACTGAAATAGAAGCATCCATTTAGTGCTCAGGAGCCTATCCTGTGGTCTAATATTTGCTGTTTCATCCAGAATTTAGGAAACTCTTCTAAAATGTTTTAGGTATTATTGTTTCCTGGTAGTTTTCAAAATAATTCTGTTTAAATGTTTATCATCAGCAACAATTGTATGAAGAATTGTTTTTAATAAAAAATAAAACTTCCATGAAACATTTATGAAGAAAAATATCCTTGACCCTTCCTTCCCACCAATCCCCCAAGTAGCCAAGATAACTTCACTGTCTCTGCAGCAAGCTCTTGTCCTCCATTTGGCCCTTTTCTGCAATGACTTGATTTGAGAACACTATGCATGCTCCAGGTACTGTTGCCACTGGTGTTCTGGAATGTGGACAATTTATGCTATACATTAATTGAGAATTTTTAATGGGAAACATAATTGTATTGTCGAGGCTTTTCAGTGAGATCTGATATTTGATTGGTAAACTTCAAAGACTGGAAATTGGCTCGACTAAGATCAGTCGGTGGTTAAAGGTAGGGTTTTATGGCTTCCAAATTGATTGATTCAAAAGGGTCGTATAGTTATCCTCCCATTTGGTTTTGAAATCCATTTTAAATATTGCTGTAAGAAGGTTAAAAGTGATATTTGAAGATAACAAACAGTTATAACATTCTAAAGTAATTGATGTGATGCACTTTGAGACAAAGGCGCTATATCAAATATAAGGATTATTATTTGGTGGTTTGGTTGTAGAGGGGTGGAAATCTGACAATAACAGATAATTGGCTAATAGGCTAAACTAGTCAGGGTTAAGGAGGGGATAACTAGGCAGGATTCCTGCTCTTGGTCCCTCCCTCTTCAGCAACCCTCTGGTTGTGTGCATGTGTGGCAGCCAGGTTGGGAGAGGATTTAGCTGTGATGCGGTCTACATTCGAGGCTCAATCTTGAACAGTGGCCACTTGGACAGGATACCGGAGGATAACCAGCACTGTGGAACCACACTCCAGCAGGAGGAGGCCAGACCAGGAGCAGAGTGGCATATGCCAGTGGGGAGAAAGGTAGAGAAAAAAAGCTCTTTTAAAATACAGCATCTGAGCTAATGGCTGGAGAGACTGGAAAGGAAAAAGGAAACGACTCACCAATACCACTGGTCTTTTATCTACAGTAGAATCTACTGTACTTGCAATCTCCTAAAGAAACTGAATTTATTTTTTCTGTACTTCCTTCCACCATTTTGACCTTCTCTTGGTGCCTATTTTTACTGAAGAAAATCAGTGGTCTTCAAATGCAGACTCAATAAGGTATTGCTTCAAATTGAGAAGCTCAGACCATCTACACCATATAAAGCTCTATATATGGAGCAGGCATAAAATAGAGCCTAGCAAATGATGCTGTCTGAGAAGCTGTGAGATATGGAAATACGTCCAGAGATTTGTGGTAGTAATATCCTATTTAATTAACATAGTGAGTAGAGGATTATACATTGGTTTTGGCTTATGCAGTCTTACTTCGTATAGGTTTGATCACCTTTCTTATGTTACATGATGGATATAGTTGGACCTTTCTGATTGTGGTGGTCTTTGGACTTTTACTGAGGTTCACTGATTTGATCATCTGTATTAACTGTGACATTGCATCCTCTTATTTGTTTGCTTTTGACCTATGTCACTGCCCTTGGCCCTCTTACTTAACTGGAATTGGAATTCTATTTTTATCTTCTTTGTAGAATTGTCCTTGTCATCCACACTTTTCCAATTATTCATGGTCTGGCTTTGTAGGATAGAAATTAAGTGTCCAGCTTTTTTTCTCCTTTAGATTCATAAGATTATCTGGTGTCGTCATCTGTCAAGCTACCCACAGCATCATTTGCTTTCAATGCTTATTTGGTTTACAGAGAAATAAATGGCTTGAGGAAAATACTACATATTATTTTGGAAGGAAGCTTTATAAAATTATATGTAGTGTTGGCTAAAATTATGTTGTTGCCATGTAACAGCTTGTGTTAATCTGCATGTCTCTTGTTTCTTTTACAGGAATACATCATTCGTGTACAACGTGGAGTTGCTGCAGAAAATAGTTGGCAGGTAAACTATTTCAAAATAATCATTATTTTACAGTGACATGCCTGTAGTGCTTAAAAGAAACTAACCACATCAATGTCCAATATGGTTATTAGAAAATACACGGCACTATTCTCTTTTTGAAGGGTCTTTCTCCCGATATCCTGGCCAACAGATATCCTGGCCAACAATCCCCCAGATAAAATTGGTCATTAACTACATTGCGGTTTGTGAGACATTGCTATTCAAATTGGCTGTGTTCGCGTACAAAAACAGCCACTACACTTTTTGCTGAATTCTACAAAGTGCTTTGAGATGTTTCTAGGGAACAAGAGTTTTCTAGCGCTTTGGGACGTCTTCCCGACATGAAAGGCACTCTATTTGTTGTTCTTTTAATAATAATAATAATCCTTGCATTTGATATTGTGCTTTTCACATCTTCTCGACGTCTCAAAGCGCTTCACAGAATATACTGGAAAGTGAATTGACTGTATATTTGTGGGCGAAACGCGGCAGCCAATTGCACACAGCAGTGTCACGCAAGCAGTTGTGGATTGAAAATGACTAACTTATTTGTTTTGTTTTGGAGGGATTATTATTAGGCGTGTGGAGTAAGGAAACTTGCCCAAGGTTTCGCCCTGCCTGGAATTGAACCCAGGTGTCTCGCTTGCAAGGCGAGTGCTCTAACCACTGAGCTACAGGACTCCACGATCTAGATCAGATGACTTCTTTTTTCAAAAATATACAATACTGGAGTTGGTATTTTAATGCCTGTTGTGGTCAACTGAAAGAATATAAATTCTTAATTTGTATACTTGCTAATATTAGGTAGGAAAGCAGAATTGGTGAAATGATTCCCGAATTTCTGTTTTTTGCTGTGCTCCAGGTGTTGAAATTCATCAGACCTTCTTTAAACTGATGTAAAGTAGAGCAAATCCATAAAACCCCAACCAGCCTGAGAACGGGCCATGATCATTAGTCAATGGATCCGCATCATGATGTCACCAATAACAGAACTGGTGATGTCCCTGCTCATACGTGCAGAAAACTGACTGGCTTTTGGGTCATCTGATCACCATTGATGTCACTTCCTGCATGTTGCACATTTTGCAGTGAGTTCACACAGCCGTCATATGCAAACCTGAGTTAATAATGAAGCAATTTATAATGTGTACTGTAGTTTGTACCTCCCCAAGCAAACTTTATATGACTGTTCAAAGTATGAATAAATAAATACTGCTTTGTCACTTGAGTTGTAAAAATATAATTAAATCCTGTAGCCTTTTGTGAAGTTTTCTCTACATACAGATAAGAAGGAATATCTGTCAGAGCAACCTAATCTAATATGATCCAGTTTTAAACGCGACAAATACACTTGACCGTTGATCAGTGATTTTCAGTTTGTGTTGGAATGTGGTAGTACTCAATTCAGGTCATCGAATTGGAAAAGAAGGAAACCTCTGTGCTGTTTGGCTTTAAAGTACAGTTGTTAGAACATATTTGGTAGAAACTTTAAGCATGTCCATTTGCAGATTCGGTACAAGAGGAGTCCATTCTGCATATTATGCTTGTGCATTAATTGGATGTATAGTTTTTAGAGATAAAAGCAAAATCATTATTAATTTTAATGTATATTAAATATATTTTTTAAATTGACAGGTTATCAGAAGATACAGTGACTTTGATGTGCTTCATACTAGTTTACAGGTACTTTACGTTGTGCACATTTTTGCCGTGCTGCAAGAACATGAACTTTGCAAAATGGGATCTGTATTAAGTAGAAACATTGGCTTAAGATTGTGGATGTAAATTTGTGGTAAAATCCAGCCTGCTACTTCCAATTGTGTACATTTTGCAATAACGTTCTATTAAAACCTCAAAAGCATGATTGCCACAAGATTTTGGGATGTTTTCCTAAAACGTTGAAATTTGTGTAGTCCAACTAAGGCAGCGTGATCCAACTGGTGGCCCATGGGCCCCATCCAGCCCAGCGGGTGATTTTATCCGGTCTGAGACCATTTCCAATATTCCAGCTTCTGCTCCTCTACCTGGTGAACGTCCTCCCATGGCAGCGGCAGGAGCCGGCGATTGGGAGGACGCAGCATGGAGAATGAAAATAATACCGTCTGTTACTGCAGTGTGTCAGGAAGACAAGTGCGTCCCTTACCAACTAGATCTTTAGCAAACGCTGGCTGCTGCCACTGCAGATAGTGATTGCTGAGCGACTGATTGGGGGGGGTGGGGGTGTGGGAGGGGGGTGTGTGTGAGAGAGGGGGTGTGTGGGAGGGGTGGGGGGGGTGTGTGTGAGAGAGGGGGGTGTGTGTGTGGGAGGGGTGGGGGGTATGTGTGGAAGGGGGGCTGGGAGAGTGTGTGGGGGGTGTGTGGGGTGTGTTGTGGGTGGGGGGGCTGGAGGAGAGGGTTAGTTGGAGTGGGGGGCTTTGGAGGGGGTGGTTTGGAGAGAGGGGGATGGTTTGGAGAGGAGGGGCGGGGGGGGTTTGGAGAGGGGGGATTTTTTTAATATATATAACAGACTGTGTCAAAATGTCACACATTACTGTGTTTGTGCAGTCACACTTGATCTGATGTGTGTGTGTTTTATACAGATCTCAGGCCTGACCCTACCTCTTCCTCCCAAAAAGCTCATTGGAAATATGGATCGAGAGTTCATAGCAGAAAGGCAACGAGGGCTTCAGAATTATCTGAATTTCATTACAACACATCACATACTGTCCACCTGTGAGCTGGTTAAAAAATTCCTCGATCCCATCAATTACTCAGCTAACTATACTGGTTAGTACAGGAACAAACTTGGTGCTTACTGAGAGCCCCAAGTAGGGTCTTGCGCAGATGATGGTGCTTGTGGCCACGAACAAGCCAGTTAAATTAAATTTTGGGAACTAAAATAAGCATTTTAATCACAGATAGTTACAAACAAATCATCACCAAATGAATTATAACAAATCAATAGTGTCCACAAAGCCCTCCAAAACTGCCGTTAACTTTTATCCCAGGTATAGTATCTCACCTGGACTTAGGTCAGTTCTTTCTTAAACAGAGTTCTGGGACACTCCTATGTAGAAAAAGCATCCTGGGACGCTACCCCGCGTGAAAGGCGCTACATAAATACATGTTGTTGTTCTTAAATAGGCCCTCAATTACTCAAGCCTTGGTAGAGAGGTCTTAGAATTCCACAGTTTCTTCTCCACAGAGTGGCCAGCAGTTCTCTGCCTTGCCACAGGCCTCATTTTACAGCTAGTTTGGTTTTGATTGTTACATATACCTTTTTTTTAATAATCCAATTAAAATTGTAGTTAGTCATATTTGCTACAGCTGTGTGTTGTTTCCAGTAATACAAAAATATAGATGCTGTACCAAAACATAATGGCAAGTAATAAATCAGGATTCTAAGTAGCAATTTCCTATGTAGAAAATTGGTGATTGCCTTTTGGAATCTGAGCTACAGTTTTCATTTGTGTTTTCCCTATTTTTAAAATGTTAATTTTACTCTTATAGATTCTCACCCAACAGTGGCCATGCACCATTCTCCAACTGAGATGGTGTGAATCTCTGCTAATGCCAATCATTATGTGGCTGTGAGGAGACATCTTCTCTTCTTGGATGCCCATCTGCTTCCCTCAACATCCCTTCACACCTTCTTTCTTGGTCACACGCTGACAGACAGACATTTTCTCTTTTTTTGGGATAGTGCTGCTCAACCATTCCCTGGATAGATGTTTATCACTATGTTGGGAACTCACTAGTCTGGTGTGAAAGCATACTGTGCCATATTAAGACATCCTGTTACTGTGTTGGGTATCAACCTAAACTGTGCTTTTAATAGACGAGTGAGTCTGTTTGATTTCATAGACTATTTTACAGCAACCAGGTATTATGGAACTTATGCTGGATGTGAGGAGGCTGAGTAATGCACAGGCTACAAAATTATGTATGTGTCCCTTAGGGTTGAGATAATTTGTTCTAAGTATCCCAGCACTGAGTGTTCTGTTCATACCACCTCTCTCTTGAGGTGTTTAGTAACCACATTTCAGAAGTCATCAGGCTATCCTACTGTAAAAGCACAAGCAAGTACTTCTGGAAGCTTCCAGAGTAGCATTCTAGTCATTTTTCCTGGAATATTTTCAAAGTTCTTGACCTGTTCATGTTGTACATTTTACTTTTCAAGGTTGACATGTAAAACACATCGCAGACTTGCTGATACACTAGTAGTTAGAATGAAATGTCCTTCAGTCCTAGATTCAATAGAGCAGAATGTCTGCTAAATGCAGATGTAAAGTGAGAAGCACTTCCTTGTTAAAATCCCAATAAGTTTTAGAATTTGATAACTTAAGCAGTTTTTGGACAAATGTATTCATATGAGATAATTCAGTGGACTAAAGGGAATTTAGAAATGTGTATCATGTCACTGTAGCTGCATCAATCTTGCAGCCAAGAGACCATTGAATAACAAAAATGTAGTAAAAATTCACTTCTACACTGTCAGAATAAAGTACAGATCACCATGTTCAATGGGCCGCATTCCCTTCTAACATAAAATGTTAACCGAAGAAGTCAGCAATAGAAGATATACATGTTTTGTGTTATTTTTGCTGATTTTTCGTGATTAATGTTTGTAAATAAAAGCACAATATTTAAAACATTTTCTCTCCATTAAATTTTGCAGAAGTTGCTTTACAGCAGGTATCCATGTTCTTCCGTTCTGAACCCAACTGGGAGGTGGTGGAACCATTAAAAGAAATAGGTAAGTAAGTCTATAATATGGCGGATCACCTGTTTTAGATATTTTTTGGGGTGAATATTTGTGCCCAAGATGAGACATGCCATTGTTAGTGAATGAAATATACTTCCAGCACCAAATATCAGCACCAAGCATTGCTTCTAGTTTATGACTGGGCATTTATTTTGATTTTCCTTCACACTTCTTATGTTGAACATACAAACATATAGATTAGTTGTATTAATTAAAATGTGTTAAAATATATTGCAGATAGGAGAAACAGTCAAACTTAAAATGTGTGTTTTTTAAAAGGTTGGAGAATAAGGAAAAGGCACCTTTTAATAAAAAGTAAGGACCAGCCCAAGGAACGCCAAGTATTAAGTTGGGTAGGTCTGATCCAGAAACAGTATTTCTCATTTTCAAACACAATATACTACAGAAGTTCATATTGTATAATGTGTTATTTAAAATGTTGAGTAAATTGACTTGCGTAGAATTTCAATTTCTCATATAGCAGTTCTCAAAATTTCATCCACAGTTGATCTGTTTTTCAGGCTGACCTTGGTCCTGATAAGTTTCTGTCTGACAAAGATCTTCAGTCAACAATGAAGCTTCTAACTTCTTGGTCTGTAAGTAACAATTCATAGTGTGTAATGGATAGACCCTATAATAGACTGTAAAGGTTCACTTACTGACACAACTTATGCTACAAATTAAATAAATAATTGTAAATAGACTTATTTTCAGGAATATAAAAATATTTTAAAAGGCACTAAAATTTTAAAGTGCTCACAGTTTTAGGGTATAATTGTTTTCTTGTATGGTTTGTACATAAATGTCATTTACCCTCATTGAGACTCATTAAGGTAGTGGTATGTGGAGGGTTTAAACTAATTTGGCAGGGGTGAGGGAACCAGGATGTAACATCAGAGAGGAGAAACAAGTAACATAGAGGACTGGGAGAGACAAATAACTGCCATAAAGAGTTGTCTAGAAACAGGAGGGATCAATCACAGGGGAGAAATACAAAGTAGACAAAGGCAGTTTTGGAGTGCATGTGCGTAAGTGCACGGAGTATAACAAATAGGTTGATGAGCTGCAGGCGCACGTTGCCACATGGGATTATGATGTAATAAGGGAGACGTGGCTAAAACAAGGGCAGGAATGGGAGCGTAACATTCCTGGCTACAGTGTATTCAGGAGGGATAGAGAAGGAAAAAAGGAGGGGGTGTCAGTATTGATCAAAGATTCTGTTACAGCCCTGGAAAGGGATGATGTGCAAGAGGGATTAAAGACGGAACTTATTTGGAGCAGAAGAGTACCTGTTAGGTGTATACTACAGACCATCAAATAGAGGAGCAAATCTGCAAACAGATTTCAGAAAGATGGAGAAACAAAGTGATAATGGGTAACTTAAATTATCCTAACATAGACTGGGAAGAAAACCGTGTAAGGAGCACGGAGGAAGGATAACAGTGATCACAATATCATTAGGTTCAATGTAGGGTCGGTAACCGGGGACATAGATTCAAGATAATTGACAAAGAACCAGATGGTATGAGGAGACTTTTTTTACACAAAGTTGTTACGGTCTGGAATTCACTGCCTGAAAGGGTGGTGGAAACAGATTTGGTTTGAGCAGGAAGTTTATTCCTGCCATATGGTTGAGGGACAATGAAGCTGAAGCACATTTTATAACCTTCAAAAATACCGAATATAAAATTAAATGTAATATGTAAGTACAGTTTAAAATTTCATCGACTAACTCAATGTGAGCCAGGAACTTTAATCCCAAGTGCTTTAGTTACCCATTGAAGCATCAGTGGAACCTCATCTATTTCATTGATTTCCACAAAAAAAATTGTTTAAAGCTGTGATTCTGTGTTTGCATCAAACTCTGGATTTTCGAAGACTTTCTTATTTGCTCTAGCACCCCTGTGTCTACCCGGTCACATTTGCCACCGCTAGTGAATCTTCAGCACTGGTAATCCGAATGTACAATGAGAAAGGGACACTAAGGGATTATATCTGCAAGGTACGCTCCACATTATTGCTGTTTATTAAATCAGACAAAACTATGTGATGGAACTGATTCATAAAACATTGTAAAATGCTAGAATTGTAAAGTGTAACCGTGTGTTTACTTTCGTATTGTACTTGGGCTCGAGAAACCAGCCAATGGTTTAAGAAAGATATGAAGCCATACTTGTCTGTTTTATTCTATACCAGAATTATTTAAAACGGGGGAAAAAAGTGACGGTTGATAAAAAGCCAAGGGAAACAGGTTGTAGACGTATCTTCAATAATCTACAGCAAATTGTGGTCATATTTAAATGTTCTGTTCAGGTACAAAGTTAAACAGTAACTTGAGATGATCTTTAGAATTGAAATGCTTTATTATCTAAAACATCTCATCTCTTATGTTTATCTCTGAGGGAAGTATTGCACTCTAATGAGGGCATTTTAATAAATGGGGAAAGGCAAGTAATGAAGAATATGTAATTAATCATTGGTAATTACATGGGTTAGACTACTACCCTACAGTGGATGCCAATTCAGTTCACAAAATCTAGAGGAAATAAGATAGCTATTAACTTGCTAATATTATAAAAAAATATTTTGAGATCTGCCAGATGCCCAATGGTCTTTTCTAGACCAGGATCTTTTCATATTGATGGTGCATTGCTACAACAACAACTTGAACTTGTATAGAGCATTCCATGCTGAGTAGAGTCTCAGAGAGCTTAACAGTGGCGGGGCCTGAACCCGAGCTGGGGGGAGGGGGCAGGTGGCTGTAAGCACGGTCAAACAGAAAATTTTTCAGGCGGGACTTGAAAGAGGGGAGAGAGTGGGCAAGGCGGAGGGATTGAGGGAGAGTGTTCTAGAGTTTTGGAGCATAGTAGCTGAAAGCATGACCTCCCATGGTGGGGCGGAGGGTGTGAGGTACAAGCAGGAGACCGGTGCCAGTCAAGCAGAGGCACCGGGTGATGGATTGGGTAATGAGGAGGTCAGAGAGTTAGGGAGGTGCCAGGGAGTGAATGGATTTGGACACGAGAGTGAGGTTCTTGAAGTCAATCCATTCGGTGATGGGGAGCCAGTGGAGCCTAGCCAGAACTGGTGAGATGTGGGAATGGAGTTGGTCCGGGTAAGTATGCAGGCAGCAGAGTTTTGAATGAGCTGGGGATAGCAGTGGGAAGTGTGTTGGAGTAATCCTGACGGGAGGTGACAAACGCATGCATGAGGGTTTCAGCTGTATTTGGGATAAGATACGGTCAGAGGTGGGCAATATGGTGGAGGTGGAAGAAAGCGGTCCTGGTTAGGGACTGAATGTGGGGGAGGAAGGACAGCTGGGGGTAGAAACGGACACCTAAGTTGCACACTGGTTCAGTGAATCTGAGGGAGAGCCCAGGTAGGTTGAGAGTTTAAATGTGCAGGAGTGAAGACGAGTCATTGACCATATTCAACTGGAGGAAGTTTACACTCATCCAGACCTTGATATCTGCCAGATAAGCTGATAGAACATTGGCGGACTTGGAATTGGTACTGCAGGAGGCAAAGTAGATTTGTTTGTCATCCGCATACATCGTGAAAGATTACCCCATGTCTGCAGATCACATCGCCCAGAGGGAGCACATAGATAAAGAAAAGAAGCGGGCCAAGGATGGAGCCCCTGGGTACCCTGCAGATGACCGGTCGGGGCAGGGAAGAGAAACCATTTGCTAAGATAAAATGGAGGCGGTTGGTTAAGTAGGGCTCGAACCATACGAGTGCGGTTCCACAAAGGTGGATGAGGGAGGAGAGGTGGTGGAGGAGAATGGCGTGATTAACTGTGTTGAATGGGGCATAGCGATCCAGGAGGACGAGGAGGCAGAAAGAGCCCTGGTCACAGAGAGAGAGAATGTTGTTTGTGACTTTAACAAGCACAGTCTATGCTATGAGCAGAGCGAAAACCAGATTGCAGGGGCTTGAGGAGGGAGTGGAGGGAGAGGTGTGACCGAAGTTGACCTGCAACAATGCGTTCCAGGACTTTGGCTAGGAAAGGTAGGTTGGAGATGGGAGGGTAATGTGAAAGGTTAGAGGGATCAAGGGTGTTTTTTTTGAGTAGGGGTGGAATGACAGTGGTTTTCAGGAAGAGTGGAACAGAGCCTGAGGAGAGAGACTGGTTGACCGTGTCGGCCACCAGGGGGAGAGTAGGGGGAGTTGAATGATCAGCAGCTGGTGGGGAGGGGTTTAATAACAGGTAGTGAACTTCATCTGGGTGATTGTGGTTGAGAGGAAGGAAGGAGAAATGGGAGCAAAGGAATGTAAGGAGGGGGGGCGTGGCAGGACCCATGGCGGAGGGAGAAGGCGGTGTGGATGGTCTGGGAGTGGTGGAAGGGGACATGTAGGAGGGTGGGTGGTGGGGACAATGCAGCCAAGCGGACGTTTTCAATTTTTGAGGCAAAGAAATCTAGGACCTCTTCGCACTTGGCATTTGACGTGGGGATAGAGGGGGCTTGAGGGGTTGCACGGTGGAGGAGGTGACGGACAATGGAAAACAGTGTCTTTGGATTGCTATTTACTTTCCGGATGACCTTGGAGTAAAAGTCAGTTTGGGCCTGTGAGAGGGAGAGGCAGTAGGTGCGGAGGTGCTCGAGCCACATCTGGTGTTGAATCGTGAGGCCGGATTTCTGCCATCTGCGCTTGAGCATCCGGGTTTGTGGTTTGAGTGAGCGGAGATGACTGTTATACCAGGGGGAGTGGGTGGGTTTGGAAACAACCTTGGATTTCAGGGGAACCAGGGAATTGAAGGTTGAGGAGAGATGGTCATTCAGCAGTTCGACGGCTGCATCAGGATCTCTGCGGATGGACGGCCAAATGGAGAGGAGGTCCGAGGAAAAGAGGGCATTTGTAAGGGACTCGGTTGGGGGTGGGTGGGGAAACTTTTTCCAGGGGCGGAAAAATATGGTGGAGGCTTTGGGAGAGGGAGATGAGGAAGTGGTCCCAGTTGGCCTTGTCTGATGGACAGGTCGGAAATATCAAGGCCATGTGTGATGATGAAGTCGAGGGAGTAGTCTTTTCATTTTGTTTCTTATTCAAAAATCATTGAAATTGTTCAGTGTTCAATCCTAAGTCCTCCCATGTGATCTACTTATTTGTAAAAAAAAATCTTCGATTGACTGCAAGGTTGTAATCTTGCCTCTGAGTTCGGATGGCATTTATTAAAAAAAACACTTGAACTTTACTCTATAATATAATCTACATTGGTTGATCAGTTCACTGCTTTGATTTGTCTCATTCACTACTGTGGAGTCCTGCAGCTCAGTGGTTAGAGCACTCGCTTTGCAAGTGAGAGACCTGAGATCAATTCCAGGCAGGGCGAAACCTTGGGCAAGTTTCCTTACTCCACACGCCTAATAATAATCCCTCCAAAACTAAAAACAATAATAAATTGGTCATTTTCAATCTACGACTGTTTGTGGGGCATTGCTGTACGCAATTGGCTGCCGCGTTTGCCAACAAATATACAGTCAATTCACTTTACAGTGTGTTCTGTGAAGCGCTTTGGGACGTCCTCCCGACGTGGAAAGTGCTATATCAAATGCAAGGATTATTATTATTACTCTGTTATAAAGAAGGTAGTTTGTCCTGATTGACTTTAAAGACTGAGGCATTGTCGGTCTCTCATAGTTGTGCACTACTTGACTACAGTATTTTGAAATGAATCAGATTACATAGGCAATAGTTTTGTGTTGAATGAGGCTATGATCATTTAGTTGCTATTTTGTTAAAAACAAAACAGTAAATGTCTGATTTTCATGGAATATTTCTAGATGTGGGAGTCAACTAAAAATTAATATAAACTCCACCAATGTTCTTTTGGCTTGTCTGCCGGAAATCAGGGCCTGAATGAGCGAAAACTTCCAACAACTAAATGTTGAGAAGACGGAAGCCATACAGCTCTCCTTCCTTCCCCACACCCGGTCCCTGACCAGGACAGCCTTCCGTCCACCTCCGCCACATTTCCCGTCTCCAATTATACCTTACCCCGGACACAGCTGAAACATTCATTCATTGCGTTTGTCACCTCCCGACTTGACTTCTCAAATGTGCTGGTCTCCCCAGCTCCACCATAACCAGGATCCAGCTGATCCAAAACTCAGCCGCCCGGGTACTCACCCATACTAACCTCCGTACCCCCATCACACCAGTTCTAGCTAAGCTCCACTGGCTCCCTATCGCCAAATGGATCAGTTTCAAAATCCGCACACTCATTTTCAAATCCCTTCATGCCCTGGCACTTCCCTACCTTTCCAACCTGCTTATCCCCGAACCCACAACTTGATGCCTCTGCTCAACTGGCTCCAGCCTTTTGCATGTTCCTCGAGCCCTCCGTTCCATCATTGGTGGCCTTGCTTTCAGCCAATATGTCCCGAAACTCTGGAACACTCTTCCTCTATCCTTCCGCCTGGCCTCTTCTTAATTGACCATGCCTACAGTCACCTCCCCCTCCCGCCGGCTCGGGGTCATGCTCCACCACTGTCAAGCGCTCTGGGACGCTACCCTGAGTAAGGTGAGTTATATCAATCCAAGTTGTTGATCTAACTCTAAGGAATGTGTTTATTTTGAATAAAGGCTAAACCAAAAGATCCTTTCCTGAAGAAGTACTGCAATCCTAAGAAAATTCAAGGTCTTGATCTTCAACAAATCAAAACTTTCGGGAGACAGATATTGGAGGTAAATCGATTTAAGAGTTGTTAGTTTAGTTATGTAAACCTTCAGTTAATGTTGCTTAGCACGATTCTGCCATTACATTATTTGGGAACAAACAATAAACACCTCACTGACCAGTTTGACTTTGATTCCAGATTTTGAAATTTCTTCATGAAAAAGGATTTCCATACGGACATCTTCACTGTTCAAATGTAATGCTTGATGGAGACGTGTGTAAATTGCTGGATTTAGAAAATTCTTTGCTAGGACTGCCCAGCTATTATAGGCCGTATTACACACAGTGTAGGAAAATCAATGTGAGTACATTAGTATAAGGACGTGTCTGGAATGTCTTGATACCATTAATGCCTTAATTCATCTTTTACATTTTTCAAGGTATTGTAACAATCAGTATTCTAGAGCAGAGTAGTCCAACAGCCCGGCTGGTGATTGTATCCGGCCCTCAACCATTTCCAACATTCTAACTTCCGTTCCCTCCCTCCCTGGTGAACGTCCTCCCAAGACAGCGTCCGAAGCCAGCGGTTTGGGGTTGCATCACAGAGGTGAAAATATACTGTGTTACCTGTGGTGTGTACTGGAGCCGAGGGGAAAACAAGCCACCTTTATCCACCGTGTCATTAGCAACCACACTGGCTCCGGCTGCGGCAGATAGTGACCCGAGTGGCTGATTGGAGGGGAGAGAGAGAGATGGGGAGAGAGTGGAGGGCAGGGAGGGTAGATGGGTAGAAGGAAGGGGAGGAAAGGGGGATTGAGGGAGGAAAGGGTGATTGAGGCAGGGGGGAAGAGGCAGGGGAGAGGGGGTTTGAGAGAGAGGGAGGGGAAGAGGAGAGAGGGAAGGGAGAGGAGGGGAAGGGGGAGGGAGGACGGAGGGGAGGGGGAGAGGGAGGGGAATGGAGAGGAAGGGGACGGAGGGGGAGAGAGAAGGGGAGGAGAGGGATTGAGAGAGCGTAACAAGACAAGATGGAGGGATTGGGAGAGGAGGAGAGAAAGAAGGGAGTGAAAGTGATTGAGTGAGACAGAGAGGAGGGGGGGAGAGTAATTCGTAGAGGGAGAGAATGATAGAGGGGAAGAGAGAGATTGGGGGGAAGAGTGATTGAGGGGAAAAACAGTGTGTGTGAGAGGAGAGAGATGGGAGATTGAGTGAGGGTGATTGATAGAGGGAGAGAGCAGGGGAGAGAAAGAAATGGAGAGAGCACAGCGAGAGAGTGATTGAAAGTGAGAGGGAGAGAGCGTGTGTGAGTGTGCACGAGAGTGCGTGAGAAAGAAACCACGAGGAAGATGGGGAGAGAAAAAAAAAGTGAGACAACAGAGAGCGAGGAGAAGTGAGGGCAGCGTTTCGTGGTTCACTGTCAGGATAGATAATCGGATTCTCCCTCGGCCACTGTGGGGGATGGGGGGGAAAGGGAACCGAGGACAGACACCAAGATATGTGCTGTGCAGTTTCCTCACAGAAAGCTCCTGCTTTCCCCAGTATCCTTTCTACGTCCTCTCTCCCTCTTCCTGCCCCCACTGCACCTCTGGGACCTCTCGACCCTGCTGTTCCCTTTGCAGAGCAAACACCAGCTTGCTTCATGTCCGTCCACCCCCCCAACCCCATCTGCCCCACCATCGCCATTTTGCCCACGTGCTCTGGAGTTCCATTCCTGGAGTCCCTCCGACTGGCTCCTCCCTGTCCTCTTTCAAGGCAGTCAAGACCTAACTCTTTGACCATGCTTTTGGTCATCTTTTCCCCTCCCCATCCCACCATTCTCAGCTCTCATCCCCAGCTCAGGTGCCCAGCCGACAGCGTCAAGTACTTTGAGATGTCCTTCCAATATGACAAAGGAGTTGTGTCAGTGTTGTTATGTTTCTGGAAGGGAAACACAAAATATTGCTTATGCGACCTGCGGATCTTTCTCTAATAAGGAATTCCGACCCTCGGCAGCTATAAAGGTTGGACCACTCTGTTCTAGTGTATTTCATAGTTCTTCTAACGGAGCAGTTTGTCAGTTTAGGTTGGATTGTCTAGAGAAGGGACGTAGACTGTCGTCTGTATTTAATTGAAGTGCATCTTCTGTAAAATCGCAAGTGTATGTTATTAATGGTGTCTCTGGCTACAAATGTATCCATTGAGACTTCTATTAGGAGAAAGAATTTGTATATGATGTATATTTGCAATGTACAGTTTCTGAGTGAGGAAAGGAAATGCTGCATTTATATGTGCTAAGGGGTCTTGGGACTGGGTTAGGTATCAGGAAGACATGGTTACTGTGCACCAGTTAATCCATCCCCAAACTGAGAGAAGTGCTAAAATGTGATGATTAAAATGTACCATCTTCAGAACAACGCATATCCAGCATGTGTTATAAAACCCATTCTGCAAATGTCTCCTTTAATTCTCCAGACAATGGAAGCTATTGATGTTTTCTGTTTTGGCCACTTACTGTATGAAATGACTTATGGGAGGCCATCAGATACAGTACCAGTGGACAGTTACCCACCTGCTCCCTCATCGAATATAGGTAATAAAATGTTTTAACTGGTTTATTTCTGGTTCAATGTTAATATAATAATAATAATATTCCTTGCATTTGATATAGCGCTTTTCACATTGGGAGGACGTCCCAAAGCGCTTCACAGAACATACTGTAAAGTGAATTGACTGTATATTTGTGGGTGAACGTGGCAGCCAGTTGCGCACAGCAATGTCCCACAAACAGTCGTAGATTGAAAATGACCAATTTATTATTGTTTTTGGTTTTGGAGGGATTATTATTAGGCTCTGTGTGGAGTAAGGAAATTTGCCCAAGGTTTTGCCCTGCCTGGAATTGAACTCGGGTCTCTCGCTTGCAAAGCGAGTGCTCTAACCACTGAGCTACAGGACTCCACAGTATATATAATGTAAACTGCTTTTGAACCACATGTAAATTAGGTTTACCCATTTTTAAAATTCTTCACCAAGTTTAAATTTAGCCTTATTTGAAAGATTCAGTAGGGCGAGGCCATGGAGGGCTTTGTATGTGAGGACCATGGAAGTTGGGGTTCTCAAGATTTTTTTCAGACATTATCTGTCTCATTTGTCTACATAACAGTAGTCACGACAGCTCAAAGTAACTTTAATCAAATACGGTATGTTTCTCTGTTAACATGCTGTAGTTATGTGCCAATTGTTTCCTTTTTGTTGTTTTGAATCAACAACAACAAGATTACGTTTGTATAGCGTCTTTCACGTCGGGAGGACATCCCAAGGCGCTGGACAGAGTACAGCATTTCAGACCAGAGCTGGGGTCGGGGGGGAGGGAGGGGAGGGGAAGGGGGGTGGCCGATGGCATGGTCGAAGAGGAGGGTCTTCAGGTGGGACTTGAAGGAGGCTAAGGAGGGGGTGAGGCAGAGTGATTGGGGGATGGAATTCCAGAGGTTAGGGGCAGAGTGGTTGAAGGCTCTCCCGCCAATGGCGGGGTGGGTGGGTCGGGGGATGTGGAGCAGGCCAGAGCTGGCTGAGCGGAGGGAACGGGTGGGTTAGTAGGGGGTTAGGAGGTCACAGAGGTAGGGTGGGGCGAGGCCATGGAGGGCTTTGTATGTGAGGACCAGGATCTTGAACTGGATCCTCTGAAGGATAGGGAGCCAGTGGAGTCGGGCGAGAATGGGGGAGATGGAGTCATGGAGTTTGGTGCGGGAGAGGACACGGGTTACAGAGTTCTGGATTATCTGCAGCCTGTGGAGGGAGGAGTTGGGAAGGCCGACAACCAGGGCGTTTGCATAGTCGAGCCTGGAGGTGATGAAGGCATGAACAAGAGTTTCAGCAGCCTGAGGTGTGAGGTTGTGGCAGAGTCGGGCGATGTTATGGAGGTGAGGGAAGGCAGAGTGGGTTATGGCTTGAATGTGGGGGAGAAAGGCAGTTGAGGATCGAACAAGACACCTGGTTCCTGACTGGCTGGTGAGTTGTAGTGAGCAACCATGGAGGTTGATGCTGCCAGAGCCTGAGGTGCTGAGGCGCTGGCGCGAGCCAATCAGTAGGGCCTCAGTCTTGTTCACATTCAGCTGTAGGAAATTTGCCCTCATCCAGGACTTGATGTCCGACAGGCAGTCTGTCAGGTCAGCAGTGGTCCTGGAGTTGAGGGCGAAGGCAGAAAGATAGTCATCCACATACATGTGGAAGTTGACCCAATGTCTGTGGATGATGTCACCAAGGGGGAGCATGTAGATATTAAAGAGGAGAGGGCAGAAGCTGGATTGGAGGGGTTCAAAGAGGGAATGGCGAGAGAGAAAGGCGCGGAGCTGGGACGCGACGACTCGTTCCAGGACCTTGGAGAGGAATGGGAGGTGAGAGATGAGGCTTTAGCTGGAGAGGAGGGATGGGTCCAGGGAAGGTTTTTTCAGGATGGGGGTGATGACAGCTTTTTTTAGGGGGGGTTGGAACTGAGCCGGTTGACAAGGAGAGGTTGATGACGTCGGACAGGAGAGGGACCAGAAAGTGGAACTGGGAGATGAGGAGAGAGGCCAAGTCTGCCGATGGACCGTTAGTTTGGATTTGGTCCAAGCGTGTTTGGCAGCTTGCACTTGTGCCTTGAGGGAACAGATGGCTGGTGTACCAGGGGGATTTACGGGAGTATGAGGCAGTTCGGGAATTGAGGAAGGCAAGGGAGTCCAGAATGGAGGAGAGGGAGTTGTGGAGAAAGGAGAGTGAGGAGGGGAGATCGGTCAGGGAGGGCCAGAGGTGTAGGAGTTCGTATGACTCCAGGGCAGTGGAGAGGGAGAGGGAGGAAATTTTTTTCCACGGACGGTATGTGATGGTGGAGGGTTGAGAATGGGGAAGGGGTACAGAAGTGTTGAGGGAGATGAAGTGGTGGTCCGAGATGGCTTTATTGATAATGGTGATGTCCGAGACGGTGAGGCCCCGGGTGATCACCAGGTCAAGGAGGTGGCCAATGTCGTGGGTGGGGGAGTGGATGAGGAGGGAGAGGTTAAGGGAAGAGAGGAGGGAGGAGAAGTCGACAGGTAGAGCAGGAGGGGTTGAAGTGGAGGTTCAAGTGGAAGGGGAAGCTGCCCACAGTTATCTTGCTTGTAGATAGAATAATTATCTGTGGAAGGAACACTCCAGAATGGAATATAAACTGTTTTGTTTTCTCCTTACAGTGGTTGTCTTGCAATCCATTCTCTCGACGGAAGCCTGTAAATCCAGCATGCCAACACTCACCCAACTACTTGACACACAGTAAGTGGCAAAACTATTTTTTTTGTGCCTTTTGTGGTTAAGTCCTGTAGCGTATTGGTTAGAGCACTCGCCTCGCAAGCGAGAGGACCTGGGTTCGATTCCTGGTCAAGGCCTTAGGTAAGTTGTTGTCCACACGCCTCTGTTTACCTAGCAGTAAGGAACCTGGTTGTTAGTTGATTGATGGATCGCTTTTCCGGGGGCAATTATCCATTCAAGCATAAATAATAATTTGGTTACTCAATTCATGATTGCAATTGGCTGGCATATTTCACTCACAAAAAGTACAGTCAATTCACTTTACAGTGTATTCTGTCAACCTCTTTGAAGACAACAACACTGATGTCCGAGACGCTGAATGCCGCGGGTAATCACCAGTTCAAGCGGGTGGCCATGGACGTGTGTGGCTGAGTGGATGTGGGGGGAGAGGTTGTGAGAGAAGAGGGAGATGTCAGGGAAGATAGAGCAAGAGGAGGTGAAGTGCAGGTTGAAGTCACCTAGAATGAGGCGTTCAGAACAGAAGCAGAGTGAAACTAGAAGGGTGGAGATGTCAGAGGACGTTGGGGGAGGGTTTGGGAGGGCGATAAACTAGGAGAATTTTAAGGGAGAGATTGGAGGATGGTAGAGGATTTAGTGTTCGAAGGAGAGGAATGAGCTGGAGGAGTTAGGGCAAAGGCCAAGTGAGGACTTGGGAGATGAGCCACATCACCACCACGGAGGTTAGATTATGGGCTGGGCCAATAGAAAAGTGCGGTTGCTCTTCTCCTCTCGCTTGCGAGGTGAGTGCACGCCCCTCGCCGCCCCCCCCCCCCCCCCCTCGCCGCCCCCCCCCTCGCCGCCCCCCCCCCCCCGCCGCTCTTTGAAAGTCTGTTCTTTAACATACAGATCTGTATTGCATTGTTTTCTTTTAGGTTATTCAGTGACGTGTTGTTTAATTCTGAAAAGCCACAGTTTAAGGTAAGTCAGAGGGACTTTTATGAACATTTATTGGTGATCACTATTTTGGAGCAACATTTCAATATTTTGACTCTGGCTTCTCAGCCCTATATTGTCACACAGTAGCTAAGAATCACGCCTTTTTAAGATTTTATTTATTTTGGGGCGATTTAATTATGAGCTCACACTTCTGATGTGAATGCAGCAAAATTAAATAGGCTGTGTGAATTATCGGATATATAGTACTTGCTGAGTGTTGGATTAAATGTTTACAAAGATCAGGAGATTAGCAGTGCTGCTAATTGGGAGTAACATCATAATGTGTTGGAATAAAATTGCCAGGATCAGAATGTTGAGATTGAATCAAATCCTAAGTGTTTCCTCTTAGAGAGTACAATGAATTGTTTTCCCATTAATATTTGGTAAATTGCCAGGAGATTTTTATCTTTATTAAAAACACAAACTTTGGTCTAACATGGAGACATTAAAAATCTCTGTTCCTCTTGCCCATGACTTTTCAGAAGTAACGAGCAGAATTTAAGAATTTTGAAGAAAATGAAGATAAAAGGTGTCTCACAACATTGAATTTTAGTTCAATTAGCATTCTGTCAGTAAAGGTCAAGGTGTTAAAAGGCTATAATTTATTCATTGTAGAAAGGTGATTCACTATACAGGTAATTTCTAGAACTCTTCTAGAAAGTCCTATGTTAACATTTTAGTTCCAAATGTTAGCTGTTGTATTATAAACATTATATTATATACATTAGAAACCTGCGTCTTTCAAACTACACTTCTAACATTTCCTGATCACATTTTGAATATGTTTTGAATTCTTTCAGCATCCACCTGTATCATTGTGCTTGAGAAAGGGGTGTGGTTTGAAAATGCTCACTTTTATTTTTTAACATTGGCCATTGTAACTATAATGGGTGACTCCTTTTACAGTGAATACAAATTTCCTGCCGGCATAATTTGTGTTGTTTGATTTGTTTTCATACCAAATGCTGTTTTAGAATTGGGGTCAGAATCTAGATTTGTCAGCTGCAGTTAACGTTATTTGATGTGGCAACTAATCCGCAGAACTTGTATTAAGGAAATTTGCAGTTGATCAAGCAACCTATTCTAGTTTTAACCTATATCTATATCTGTGCTTCATAGAAAATTTCCCCCATCCCTCCCAGAAAAATAGGGAATTTTCTAATGAGCACATGCATTCCTTTCCCTATTGTGCCTCAATGACAAGAGATGCTATGAGTTGTTAATCAGTTGTGTAATTTATCAGGTCTGTGAACGTGCAAAAAGGGCACAACAGTTTATGAGAGTATTAAACGTACATAATTTTCACCGCATGCAAGTCACAGCCCCAGGTGTCACTAAAGTGTTCATGTGAATTTTTTCTAAAAACAAAAAAGTAAAATACACTCCCTTCAACATGGAGATTTAAATGGTTCTGATGAAGGATTGTATACGAAAGGTTATGTTAACCTGTTTCATTCAGGTGCCCAATGGCCTGCTGTGCTTTTGCAGTAAGTGTTCATATTTCAAAGAGCTAAGCGAGTCTGTTTTGAATAATAAAGCAATCAGAGGCATTCCATGATACCAGAAACATTCACCTTTCACATTTTATTACCGGCTTAATCGACTTTTAGATGAAGCTCAAGTATAAATATTATTAAAGATAGTATCTCTTCATTTAATATGTGAGAGAGCAATTATGCAGAAGAACCAGTTTAAAAACTTTTACTTTTACAGCCTGAAAACTGAGTTGTTGCAGATGTTTAGTGCACTTTTCGTTTTGTGTTAGATTCCCAGTAAACTGAAGGAAGCCTTGAAAACAGCAAAAGAATGCATGGAGAAAAGGTTAAATGAAGAACAGAAAGCAGTGAGTCAAGCTCATCTTTACTTATGTAATAAACCAATGATGTCATGCAGTTTATAGCACATTATATGGTTGCAACCCATCTAAATGCTGATATTTTACACAAATCCGTAATACGTTACTTCCTTATGGAAATGTTATGATGCTCTTGGCAATCTTAAAAACCCAAACACGGCTGCTCGAGCGCAGATGGCGGAAAACTGGCCTGACAGTTCACCGCCAACTGTGGCTGGAGCATCTCCACAGCTACCGCCGTTCTTTGACACGCGCAAAAACAGGCTTCTACTCCAACATCACCTTGGAGGCTAAAAACAATCCGAAAATTCTTTTTTCCACCACCCACTACCTCCTCCGTGCCGCCCCTCAGGCCTCTTCAATCTTCATATCCAATGCCAAGTGCGAGATATTTTCATCTAAAATACACATTCGCCAGGCAGCCTCATCCACCTGCCCCTTGTCACCCACCACCTGTCCCCCTCACCCTCCCCATCATCTGCTCCTACTATCACCCCCATCCTACGTTCCTTCCTCTCCATCTCTCCCTCCCTCTCACCCACCATCACCTCAATGAAACCCACCACCTGCTGCCTCGACCCTCTTCCCACCAAATTACTGGTCACCCAGCTCCCCCTCCACTGCCCACTACTGGCTGACGTCATTAACCAGTCCCTCTCCTCCGGATCAGTCCCTGCCCCCCTCAAAACTGCTGTCATCACCCCCCTCCTCAAAAAACCTTCCCTAGATCCCTCAAATCCCAGCCATCAACTGTCCTATTTCTAACCTGCCCTTCCTCGCAAAAATCCTAGAACGCGTTGTTTCCAATCAACTTCGCGCACACTTTGCCTCCCACTCCCTCTTCGAACCCCTCCAGTCCGGTTTCCGCCCACAGTACACAGACTGCTCTTGTGAAAGTCACAAATGACATCCTCTCTATCTATGACCAGGGCTCTCTCTGCCTCCTTGTCCTCCTGGACCTCTCCACTGCGTTCGACACAGTCGATCACGCCATCCTCCTCCAACGCCTTTCCTCCGTCATCCACCTCAGTGGGACCGCACTCGCCTGGTTCGAGTCCTACCTCCCACACCGCGAGCAGTACATCTGCACAAACGGCTTCTCCTCCCGCTCTCACCCAGTGACCTGTGGGGTACCCCAAGGATCAATCCTTGGTCCCCTCCTCTTTCTGATCTACATGCTCCCTCTTGGGGATGTCATCCGCAGACATGGGGTGCACTTCCACATGTATGCGGACGACACCCAACTCTATTTTTCCACCTCTCTTTGCGACCCCCAGTCACCTGATGTTCTGTCAGCCTGCCTGTCAGATCTCAGGAGCTGGATGAGCGCAAATTTCCTTCAGCTGAACATTGACAAGATGGAAGCTATACTCTTTGGCTCTCGTGAACGTCTAAAATCTCACGATTCTCATCTCCTCCCCCTAACTAACCTCCCTCTAAAACTCTCCGCACCCGTACACAACCTAGGCGTTAGGTTTGACCCCCAATTATCCTTCCCCCACATCCTGTCCCTCACCAGCATTGCTTTCTTCCATCTCCGACGCATTGCCCGTCTCCGCCAATACCTCTCTCCGAAAGCCGCTGAAACCCTGGTCCATGCCTGTGTTATCTCTCAGCTGGACTATTCAAATGCCCTCCTCACCGGTCTCCCATTCACTCTCATCCATAAAATACAGATTATACAAAACTCTGCCGCCCGCATCCTGACCTGCACCAAACTCCGCTCCCCGATCACCCCAGTCCTTGCCAGACTGCACTGGCTGCCTGTCCCAGAGAGGATCAGTTTCAAGATCCTCGCCCTTGTCTTCAAATCCCTCCACTACTCTGCACCTCTCTGACCTCCTCTCTCATCAAAATATTACCCGTTGCCTTCGTTCTACCAGGTCTGGCCTCCTCCTCGTCGCCCGAGTTCTCCACTCCACCCTCGGCGGCCGTGCCTTCAGCCACTATGCCCCGAGGCTCTAGAACTCCCTTCCTCACTCCCTTTGTCTCGCTCCCTCCCTTCCCATTTTCAGGTATCTGCTGAAGACCTTTCTCTTTGACCGAGCCTTTGGTCACTTTCCTCCCCCTGGCTCGGCCACGGGATCCATTACTGTGAAGCGCTCTGAGACGCCGTCCGGCGTGGAGGGAGCTATATAAATCCAAGTTGTTGTTGTTGTTATCTTGTTATTGGCTCGGCCAGAAGAGATATAGAAAGTAAAGTTAAGAACGAGGGGAAAGAAAAAAATATAAACATCACTTTTCATTTGTTTAACATAATAGTTGAAGCATATCTTTTATAATTCTAACTACATTGTCAAAACTCGTAGGCTCATCTATGGACAAATGATGCACATTGGCCATAATTATAATAATGATGTATTAATAGCTAGCATATTTTGTCTTTCGCCAGATAATCCATAGGTTTTTAGTTTAAGTATTAGAATATTCTATCATTTAAAAAAAAAATTATTCCAAAAGATTCATCAGCGTAAGAGACTGACACGGGCACAGTCTCATCACGGTTCAGAGGAAGAGAAAAAGAAAAGGAAGACGTTGGCACGAAAGGTGAGTTGATTTGCGATGTACTGTTATGGTAAGTTATAGATTGGGATGGTAGAGCACTTGCTTTGCAAGCGTGAGGACCTGGGTTTGATTCCCGGGTAGGGCGAAACATTGGGCAAGATACCTTACTCCATGCACCTGTGTTCATCTAGCAGTAAATAGGAACCCGATTGTTAGTTGATTGGCGGGTCACTTTCCTGGGGTAATAATTCCTTCAAAAATAAATAATAAATTGGTCACTTAATTAATGACATTGGGACACTGCTGTGCACAATTGGCTGCCGCGTTTCGCCCACAAAATATTCAGTCAATTCACTTTACAGTATATTCTGTGAAGCTCTTTGTGGCGTTTTGAAGATGTGATAAGGTGCTATATCAAATGCGAGGATTATTATTATTTACTGTTGCGTTTTTAATAAAAAATCATACAATTTAATTGCTCAAACATTTAAATTATTGCTCTTTGTATCTGTTTTATATACTCTAACCGGGAAACATAATGTCCTGTCTAATGAATCTTAGATTAGATTGGTTTGTTGTTTGATATAAACATTTTTACGATACTGTACAATTTTCGTTGTTATGCTCTGTAAACCTGTGATGTTCTTCCTTAAATAATCTTATTCTTCTGTTCTGTGTCTTCTACTATAGCAAGCCAAGGTAATGAACTAACATTGGCTCAATAGAGTTCTTTTTGTGTTTTTTGGCTTTTTGAGTTACTTTGCCGATATCATTATTTCATATTTTTTAAACTACACTTTTTTTTAATCCAAATTGCATGCTATGTTGAAGTTTCACAGTTGCTTTGTCTGTGGTTGTATGAATAGAGTATAGTTTAGTCATAATCCTTGTGTTGCATATTCTAAAAGTTATTTTCCTTATGAGCAGAAATCAAAGCAGACTGTAACCGAGAATGAAGCGGATAATTCAGCCAAAAGTAGTAACTCAAACAATGCAAATTCTGGTAGGTCATACTGTACTTGCAATGATTTGTCGTTGCATTCGGAAATTAGAAATCTCAACTTCCACCAGGAAAGGTGCCGCGCTTCTCCCACAAAATATACAGTCAATTCACTTTAAAGTATATTCTGTGAAGGGCTTTGAGACATCACGAAGACATGATGAGGCGCTATATTAAATACAAGGATTATTATATTGCACCTCCGCCTTGCCTCCTCTCTCCCCTCTTTCAAGTCCTGCCTGAAAACTTTCCTCTACGACCATGCTTACAACCACCTCTCCCCGGCTTGGGGTCAGGCACTGTTAAGCACTCTGAGACCCTGCGTTGAGGGCGTTATATAAGTACAAGTTGTTGTATTGTTACTTTGTGTAGTCAGCACAACCTGCTTCATACACTTTAAATCTGCTTAGCAGTCCGAGTCTATTCTTGTCCTGTTTGTGTGGTTATAATGTGGTTGTTAATATGCATCATAATATGCTGGATCCTTGAATGTGGCGTAGTAATGGTGCAGACAATCATATGAGCATTATTTGTTTTAAACGAAGATTTTAAGCCACTGTGATGTACATCTGGTCTATCAAAGCACAATAGGGACATAAATTAGACCATTCTGCAAGCATGTTAATTATCAAGAAATTATTATTTTTAATTTGAAGTGTACTGAATGATTTGAACTGCCTGTTTTGTATTTAATGGACGTGCTAACATAACTTATTTAAAGTAGTTAATTTTTTTCATCATTACACATTTGAATACAAATGGGTTTGAACACCAGAAGCCCCAGAAAAAGCACAGGATTCTGTTACAGAGATCTTGCTGGACCAATTTAAATGTCCCAATCTCAGTTGTTATTGTGATGTAAACAATGGCCATGACCTGAAGATTTATCCAGGATCACATACAGCCACCCACATAAAGATAAATGTATAACACATGATAACACAGGAAGAGTACGCAGAAGCTGTTCTGAAGGAAGTCATCTGATCAGCACTAATCATTGAATAAATCATTTGCTTTATATCCTGTTAGTAATGAACAAATGTGTTATTGGCTTTTTAATTGCTAGTAAAATGGGCAGTGGTCATTGTACATACATGTAGGGAATTTTTTTCATCATTACACATTTGAATACAAATGGGTTTGAACACCAGAAGCCCCAGAAAAAGCATAAGATTACAGAGATCTCGCTGAACCAGTTTAAATGTCCCAATCTCAGTTGGAACATTTAAACTGGTTCTGAAACCATGTATATTACTTGAGTAACCTGAACAGGATGTAATCCTGTATTTGCCAAGCTATGAACTCAACACGGGTCAGTATATGGAACAGAATGTAATTAGCTCCTCAGACAGTACAGAAAGCAAGCTTTGAACTCCCTTTAATAATAGCAACTATTTTACTAGTTTGTAGTCACTATAAAATGTGGAAGGGGAAATTGTGTGAAATTAAATTTAAGCAGAACGAACCCAGAACACTTGGCTATTTTATGGGATCAGTTTGTAAACCCATCTTTCCCCTTCCATTGATAGTTTTAGCTGAAGTAACACATTTAACAAATCCAGAAGATAAAAAAGCAAGTTAGCAAATTCCAAATCAGCTAAAAGAGAAACCGTTAAATATTCACAATAGTCAAGGTACAAATATGTAGATATCAATTGTTGGGGTACCCTTACAATCAGTCTTTCATTAATCTGAGTCAGAATATTTCACACAATGCAAATGTTGTGCAAATAAGGCCATTCCTTCGTAATTGTTTTTAACTAATTTTCCCATTAGGCTCTGGCGCTAGTTCTCCTCTAACATCACCATCTTCGCCTACTCCTTCATCTACTGGTAAGTACGAGCTCCTATGTTCACAAATATATTTAAGGTTAGCAGTTTCTAGGGGGACTTGTGTGCCAAGTTATCACAGGTTTTCTTTCAAAATTCACTTATTGGATTGGTGTTCCAAGATAACATCATCTAATAGCACTATGATGTTTTTTCATTGTTAGATGCTTACTGTCATTCTAATTTGACTAGAATATGCTCAGCTCATTGCTACATTTTATCTAACAAAATTTACTGGAGTTTTCCTGCCAAGTTTTTTTAATGATAATTTAGCATACAAAATCACTTACTGAATTTGTACCATTTTTTGCTCAGAACTGAGTACGTTGAATTATCGTTTTCCCCACTTCTGAGTTTTTTCAATAATTAAACCAATGCCTTTGTGAAGTTAAGAGTGTTGTGAATGAGTTAAACGATTAAGTAGAACAAATAAATTAAGTGGAAACCTGTTTATCATGATCATCTCTTTAATTAGCAAGGGTATTTTGTTATGCTTGATAAATCATTAAGGGTTTATCAACTATAATAATAATAATAATCCTTGCATTTGATATAGTGCTTTTCACATCTTTTCGACGTCTCAAAGCGCTTCACAGAATAGACTGTAAAGTAAATAATAATAATCCTTGCATTTGATATAGCGCTTTTCACGTCGGGAGGACGACCCAAAGCGCTTCACAGAACACACTGTAAAGTGAAATGACTGTATATTTGTGGACGAACGCGGCAGCCAATTGCGCACAGTCGTGGATTGAAAATGACCAATTTATTATTGTTTTTGGAGGAATTATTATTAGGCGTGCGGAGTAAGGAAATTTTCCCAAGGTTGCCAACCTTGCCAAACTTGCCAGCTCTTGCCAGTCTGCAGTCCAACATACTCTGGCCTTGGCTTTTGCTAACCTGTACTGTAGATGTATGGAAATTTCCACATGTAAGTGGCATACATATGCTGAAGTCTAATAATAATAATAAGCCTAATATCTGAACTCTCTGGTTTGCATACTCTTAAGCAGGGTGATGGATTACCACATTTGGCTGACCATCAAAAAAAAACTTTGTATAGAAGTATACCAAGGTAATCTCACTTGCTGTTTAAGGGTTTGTGGCTTTGAGTATAAGGAACTAGCAGTACCCATTACAGCTACGCTTGCAACCAGTTTCATTTCTTTTTTATCTGGCAGTTTGATTGGTCCTTGAAAGGCTTGATCTTTGCTTCTTAGGCATCGTTATCCCTTAAGATTAAGAAAATGTGCTATTGAACTCGTTAGCATCCCTTGTTCACATATTTGCACACATATCCTTTTGGAAGGACTCCTGTGGAAGGACTCAGTGGGAGGACTCCTGTTGGTGTCTCTACATCAATTGGTTAGATAGACACAGACTTTATGAATATAGGTGTATCTCTCTAGAAGTGTGTGTGACCTCTGTCGCTACTTTGTTGCAGATTACCAAACATACCATTTTTGGAGCTTAAAGCATTTCAATTAAAATCTTAATTAATCTTAATTAAAGATCCCCCCCCCAAAAGATGCCCATGACATTCCCCCAAGCAAGACCGTTCCGATGAGGTATATATCATGTCTCTACAGTAATCGGTTATTACGTTCTAGGTGGACAGACAGACATTTTGTCTTTATTAGTATAGAAGAGGGATGCTTGTTGGCCCTAGTACAAAATCTCCAGGTTGTTATTACGTTCAGCAACAAGTAGTTGAACTGCGCAGTGATTGGTTCTTGTTCCGAGCAGCCCTCAGATGTTATACAAAAAGGGCACTTGTGGAATGCTATAATTTCAGTTACTTGATTTTTGAAAATCTCTCCCCTATGCTAATTGAGTTCCCATATATCACTCTCCCCTTTTATTGGCCACCTCATCCAACACATGAAATATGTGGATTTTTAATACAGCCCATTGTTTTTTCTCAATTACTGTAACCAGAGAGTTGAAATTAAATTACATTAACTGGGGGGTGGCTGGCGGGGGAGCAGGGGTGGGCAAGCGGGGGGGAGCAGGGGTGGGTGGGGGGCAGGGATTGGTGAGTGGTGCCCGGGGTTGGGGAGAGGGAGCAGGGGGGAGTTGGGAGAGGGGGAATTGGGGCGGGGGGAGGGAGTTGGGGTGGGAAGAGGGAGTTGGGGGTGGGAAGAGGGAGTTGGGGGTGGGAAGAGGGAGTTGGGGGTGGGAAGAGGGGGGTGGGGGGTTAGAGTGAGTGTGGCAGGGGGAGGTTTGGTGCACCCTGAACTAAACTATGGATTCTCAGACCATGCATATGGCATTTAAAACAAGAAAACTAAAATGCTTTGTGATGTGCTTATAATTGTGATATAATTCTATCCAATGAACCTCTCATGTATTTGCTTTTATATTATGGTTATGGCTGTGTCAACTGTTGGCTTAAACTTTTGAGAAAAATCACGAAATCTGGCAGGTGAAAATTTAATGTCACCATATAAAGCAGATTTTTTAAAATCTGGAGTTAGCAAGTGATCTGAGCTGTAGTTGTTTTATGTCCTATATATATTTTCCAAAATGCTTCTTCATAATGACTTATTGCCTCTTTTTTTCTATGCTGTCGTTGCTGTAGAGCATACTCCATTCTGAGCCTGACTTTGGGGTAATGTAGACCACCCTAAGAATTTTTGGTTACAGAAAAGGGACATAGTCACCAAGGTGATTCAGTTTACTCTTGCATCAATTAATTATGTTGCTCACTATAAATCAAGCCTAATTTGTCTACAGACATACAAAATTTCAAATGTCAACTTTTTGTAAACTTTACTTAGTGGATTTATATTACTAGCAGAACCTTTTGATGCTGACTTTAATTGTTACTTTCCACGCATATTTTCTTCCTTCCCTCTTCGCTTTCTTTATTAAAAGCAATGACTTATGTTGGTTTATGTTGATCTCCTATACCTCACCCAAGAGCCATTTGCTGACCACACAATGTGTTATTTTGTTCTATTTCAACCTAATATGAGTAACCTGTGCAGCAATGTAGAAGTTTTTCCTCTTGGGCGAGCTCTCTTGCACCTTGTTGTAGATCCAAACTCAAGGGTGGTGTGGGAAAAAGTGTATTTTATTCTCAAGAATAACAGCAATTACAATGGCAAGTGATGCAATGCGTTTTCTGATTTGCCTTATTTGACTGACTCCTAAATTTGTTGTGCACAGCTGTGTGTTTGTAAACTGTAGTAAGTTGTTGTTTCTGGCCTTATGATCTTTCTCCTTATTGGTGTCCTTTTAAGATAAAATGAAAACAGACTTGGGTCTGATTTCCTGACGGTTACTTAAAATATCATCGACATCGATCTATACAACTACTACTTTGACTAACTACTGTAGCTCCATCCAATTGGCTCATTTCAATATGCAGCAGCAAGAAAAAGAGATTTATTACCTCCCGGTAATATTTTTTAAAAAGGTGGGAAGTTAATGAATAAGCTGTTTTTTACTTTTTGCACCCAGTATCAACATTGAGTCTAGTGTAGATCCCCAGTATGTATTGGGATGAGGCAGTGAGCAAACAAACCTTCTATGATCATCATTAAATGTCACTGAAAATTAAGAGCTATCAGTTGGTTTTAGGATTTTTGGTGTTACTTGGTATAATGTAATTGTATAATCTGAATTGTGCTGAAACCATAATTTCAATGTAAAATTAACTTTAAATCATTTATCAAATGACTTTTAAACTTTTTCTTCTTTCATCTTACAGGAGTTTTACCAGTCCCTCCACCACCAGCTGCACCTCCACCTCCAAAGTCTGAGGACTACTCTCTACCCCAACACATTTCTACTGCAAACGGTGCAGAACGAGGAGCCTTACTCAGTTCAATTCAAAGCTTTAAAAAGGGGAAGTTGAAGCCCACCGAAACAAATGACCACAGCATTCCAACAATCAAATGATATCAAAGTTGTCTTTGTTGCTGGACTGTTTCCAGTATCAAACCTGAAACACTGATAAGTAAAGTGTTTTGTGTACTACTTGCATATCATTGTTTAGTCAAGTCTTTCTGGAGCTCTTGTACAGGACAATCATTTGTTTTAAAAGCATTTGCTTTTCAAGAATGTTTCATACGTTGCAGCCAATATGCATAGATTTACGTAACTACTTCAGTGCCCCCTTTGTGGACTAGGCTATATTTCTGAAGCAGATACTCATTAAGCTCGTCAATCACCAACTACCTGTGGAGCCAATTTTCTGCAATAATTTTACATGTTGAAGTTAGTAGAAATACAGCAAGTGTGTTTTGCAATAATGTATCTAAATCATTGCCCAATAATCTTAATTCTGAAGAAAGTGCACTTTAAAGATATAATTAACTTGTATCATAAACAAGAAACAGCTGTTTCTATGCAGAAAGATTTTCACAATGGTAATACATGTACAGATTTTCTTGTAAACTATGGCCAGATATTGTTTTAATATTTTTATTAAAATAATTGTCTTCTGTTCTTGCCTTGTGCGCTCTTTGTTACACATTACTGTGCTGAACGTGATCTAAATGAGTGGATCATATTGCAAAGAAAAAAAGTGTTCTTATTAGAAAGATATTTCTAAAAGGCATCATAGAGGATCTGCCATTGCCAGCAAAGTTCACTGAATGTAAACTGATTTGGACTGGTGTTGATATTTAATGATTCAAATCAGGTTCTACACAATTGTGCCTCAGCCCTATCAGCTAATCATTTCCTCTCTTTCCACTCACAGCAGCTAAATCAATTGGTAAAAGAATGGTCCACATCTTTAGAATCTTTAATTCATAGTTTTACATAAAAATCAAGCAGTATCACCCAAGTTTAATAATTTATTTGTAAATCAACCACCATCCACTGTGTTTAGTCAGAACAAACTAATAAATATGTCAAGCATCAAAATAAAGGAGCGTAATGTTATATACCATTATCAAAACCATATTGGCTACTTACAGAAACTTGGAACATTTTAAAAAGCAATGGCTACTATAAATTGGATTTAATAACCAGTTCGTCAGAGCCATATGTTTAAATCAAAAGTGAGTTTGATTTATCCATCAACTAATTATGAAACTTGCTTGGTTACTGTTCACCAATAAAACAGTTTGGAGAGTGCTTCTTAAAAAGTTAAGTATTTGTGGCTTGATGGCAAGGAATTTCTATCTACAAACAGGAGCAAAGTTGGACAATGAAGTTGTCAGAAATAGGAAGTTGCTTGTATTTTCTCCACTTGAGGGGTTTGGTGCTTAAGTACAATTTAATTGTAATCTCACTGGCAAAAATACTGTAACAAGTTATTGAATAATGTCATCACCAGTGAAATATGTTTCTTTGGGTCACCAAGTGCAGTTAAGCATTTACATATAATGTGTAACAATGCCTTTGCTCCTTCCTCCCTCCCTTCTATATGCAGTTGAATACCTTCACTGATAACGTATGCATTAGATTTGTACCACATAAAAGGTACTCTCTTCCTCCATTAAGAATTCATATAAAATGGGGGGGTTGGGGGTAAGGAAGAGAAAGGAAGTACCACTCAAAACTGAAGATCCTACACTTGAATTCAGGGTCATCTTGTGTTTGCATCACCAACAACTAAGTCGCTCTAAACCATCATAACTGCTTTCTCTAAATTCTTTATGGAGGAATACCTTTAAGTGGTGCAAATGTAATGCATGCATTATCAGTGAAGGGATTCAACCACACATGGAAGGGAGGGAGGGGCAAAGGCAAATCAGCAGTGCTATCTATCCCTGGAGTATCTTCTTTACTGCAAAAATAATATCCTTAACTTGAGGCATGCAGTTATCTTCCAAGATCTTTGCGTAAGGCATAGGAACATCTGCACCAGTGACACGCATAACAGGAGCATCCAGGTAGTTGAATGCTGGGCCTGAAAGAAATGTTACATTAAATTTTCTAACAAGAATAGACAAGATTAAGCACTTTGTGCCTTATATTTCAAGATAATGTGAATTCTTATTCACCTCCAAACCAAGTTTAATAAACTACCATTTACACTAAATTTAAATCCACTTGACCTAAAATGAACTAGAAAACTAAAGAATTTAACTTTAAAACATTTTTATGGACTTTACCTTCCATAATTCTGGCACAAATTTCAGCTCCCACTCCAAATTGGGGCCAGCCACCTTCAACAGTCACCAGATTATTGGTTTTCATCACACTCGTTTCAATAGTTTCAACATCCATGGGTCTGATGGTACGTAAATTAATGACCTGGAGACATTACAAATTCCAAGATTGGAGTTTAAAATAAAAGCTAATGAAATATATCAGTCTCTGACACTCATATAACCCTTAACATATGTTAAAATGAAATACCAGCAAAAACAATAAAAGCACAAATTCCAAAGGTGAATCAAGGGAGAAAGTTGGAAGAGAAAATGAGAGAGCAACAGTGCAACACCAGCGATAACATAACTCATCATGGTTTAGTACAAGAGTCAATTAATCTTTTCCACAATAATCTGATATCCAGTTTTAGTACCCACAATAGAACTGGTCCCTATTTTTGTGGACACTGAAGCTCTATTGGATTGCGATTACTTTTTCTACTTTAGTTTTTTAGATTTGCCCCTTTTTTTGTTGTACATTTCAAATTGAGTGCTCAGCCAATCTGCAACCAGCGTGACCTCATCTCGCCCGCTTCACAGAATCTCGAGGCCAAGACTCACTGGGAAGACATCACGGCCCCATCTCCTCACTGAGCCTTCACCAACCCAGCCCAGCTCAGCCCAGCTCAGCCCAGCCCATGGCTCGCTGAACAGTCCTGTCCATTCCGAGTCTCAGCGTGCGCACATTGGCTGCCGCAATTGACCCGAGCTGTTTCCCCAAGATGTTCCCGACCCTGTCCCCTTCCCTGCGCTCCCTCCGCCTGCCCCAACTCCTATCCCTCCTCGACTCCCCATGGCCTCCCTCTGCTCCTCCCTTCACATTCTCCGTCGTGCCCACCATGGTAGACGCCGTCGGCTAACCTACAGCACCCACCCTGACTGCCCCTTCCCCCACTCTCGCCGTAAGGCCCACCAGCCCTCAATCATGGGAGCCAACCTTTCCTCCCTTACTCACATCCCCATCCAACCTGTCTGTCCACCCCCTCGCACCCCTCATCCCCCCCACGCTCCCACCACTAACTGTCACCTCCGCATCGGTCTGCAGAACGTCCGCTCACTAACCAACAAGTCCCTCACAATCCATGACCTTACCGTTGAAGAAAATATCGACGCCCTCACCGAAACCCGGGTCACCCCAGGCAACACCTTCCTGCTAGTTGAGGCCACACCTCCAGTTTACACCTTTCACCAAACCCCATGGCCTAATCACCGTGGTGGTGGTGTGGCTCTCATCTTCCGGTCTCCACTCGGCCTTTCCCCTTACTCCTCTGGAACATTCCCCTCCTTTGAACACCTTACCCTCTACCATCCCTCCAGGCTTTCCTTCAAAATCCTCCTTGTTTAGCATCCCCCCAAGCCTTCCCCCACCTTCCCCTCGGACATCTCCACCCTCCTATCTTCCCTCTCCCTCTGCTCTGAACACCTCCTAATCTTAGACAACATCAACATCCACTTCAACCCCTCCTGCTCTACCTCTGCCGACTTCTCCTCCCTCCCCTCTTCCCTTAACCTCTCCCTCCTCATCCACTCCCCCACCCACAACATTGGCCACCTCCTTGACCTGGTGATCACCCGGGGCCTCACCGTCTCAGACATCACCATCATCGATAAAGCCATCTCGGACCACCACTTCATCTCCCTCAACACCTCTGTACCCCTTCCCCTTTCTCAACCTCCACCATCACATACCGTCCGTGGAAAAAAATTTCCTCCCTCTCCCTCTCCACTGCCCTGGAGTCATCCGAACTCCTACACCTCTGGCCCTCCCTGACTGGTCTCCCCTCCTCACTCTCCTTTCTCCACAAATCCCTCTCCTCCATTCTGAACTCCCTTGTCTCCCTCACTTCCCGAACTGCCTCATACTCCCGTAAATCCCCCTGGTACACCAGCCATCTGTTCCCTCAAGGCACAAGTGCGAGCTGCCAAACGCGCCTGGACCAAATCCAAACTAACGGTCCATCGGCAGATTTGGCTTCACCACACCAAGACCTACCACTGCGCACTTGCCTCTGTCAAATCCTCCTTCTACTCCAAGGTTATCTTGGAGGCAAAGGACAACCCCAGGCTTCCCTTTTCCACCACAAATCGTCTCCTCCATCCACCTTCCCATGCCTCGCCCATCCTCTCCTCAAACTCTAACTGTGAGGAGACGCTGGACTTCCTCGAATCTAAAATCGAGGGGATACGTTCAGCCACCTCAGCCCCGTCCACCGCCACCCCCACATCACCTCTCCCTCATGACTCACCCCCCCGCCCATCCCCTCCTATACACCTTCGACCCTATCTCTCCCTCCTCTCTCACCGTGACTGTTCACAAACTCAAACCCACCACTTGCTCCCTCGATCCCATCCCCACCTCACTCCTCATCTCCCAGCTCCACCTTCTGGCCCCTTTCCTGTCCGACATCATCAACCTCTCCTTGTCCACCCCCCTAAAAACAGCCGTCATGACCCCCATCCTGAAAAAACCTTCCCTGGACCCATCCCTTCTCTCCAGCTACCGCCCCATCTCTAACCTCCCATTCCTCTCCAAGGTCCTGGAATGCGTTTGTGGCGTCCTAGCTCCGCTTCTTTCTCTCTCGCCATTTCCTCTTTGAACCCCTCCAATCCTGCTTCTGCACTGCCCACAGCACGGAAACAGCCCTGGTCAAAGTCACCAATGACATTCTGAACATCTATAATCAGGGCTCCCTCTGCCTCCTTGTCCTCCTCGACCTCGCTGCCGCCTTTGACACTGTCGACCACTCCATCCTCATACACCGCCTCTCCGCTTTACTCAATCTTCACGGACCTGCCCTTACCTGGTTCGATTCCTATCTCTCTCACCATCTCCACTTTGTTGCCTCTAACGGTTTCTCCTCCAGCCCCACAGTGTCACGTCTGGCTCCCCCAGGGCTCTGCCCTTGGCCCTCTCCTCTTAATAGCTATATGCTCCCCCTTGGTGACATCATCCGCAGACATGGGGTCAACTTCCATATGTATGCGGATGACACCCAACTCTAGCTTTCTGCCTCCACCCTCAACTCCAGGACCACTGCTGACCTGACAGACTGCCTGTCGGACACCAAGTCCTGGATGAGGGCAAATTTCCTTCAGTTGAATGTGAACAAGACTGAGGCCCTCCTGATTGGCTCGCGCCAGCGCCTCAGCACCTCAGGCAGCATCAACCTCCATGGTTGCTCACTACAACTCACCAGCCAGTCAGGAACCAGGTTTCTTGCTCGACTCTCAACTGTCTTTTCACCCCCACATTCAAGCCATGACCCGCTCTGCCTTCCCTCATCTCCGTAACATCGCCCGACTCCGCCAATACCTCACCCCTCAGGCCACTGAAACTCTTGTTCATGCCTTCATCACCTCCAGGCTCGACTATGCAAACTCCCTGCTTGTCGGCCTTCTCAACTCCTCCCTCCACAGGCTGCAGATAATCCAGAACTCTGCAGCCCGTGTCCTCTCCTGCACCCAACTCCATGACCTCATCTCCCCCATTCTCACCCGACTCCATTGGCTCCCTATCCTTCAGAAGATCGAGTTAAAGATCCTGGTCCTCACCTACAAAGCCCTCCATGGCCTTGCCCCACCCGACCTCTGTGAACTCCTAACTCCCTATCAACCCGCCCGCTCCCTCCGCTCAGCCGGCTCCAGCCTGCTCCACGTCCCCGACCTACCCATCCCACCATTGGCGAGAGAGCCTTCAGCCACTCTGCCCCCAACCTCTGGAATTCCATCCCCCAGTCACTCCGCCTCGACCCCTCCTTAGTCTCCTTCAAGTCCCGCTTCAAAATCCTCCTCTTCGACCATGCCATCAGCCACCCCCCTTCCCCTCCCCTCCCTTCTACTCCCCTGACCCCAGCTCGGGTCTGAAATGCTGTACACTGTCCAGCACCTTGGGACTTCCTCCCGACGTGAAAAGCGCTATACAAATGTAATCTTGTTGTTGTTGCTTTCCCCAGTCACCTACCTCACATTCAATTCCTTCCTTTGCAAGGACAGTAGCCGCCTCTACACAGTGACCCACTGCTTTGGAATGTGCAACCAAAGTGATATTAGTACCTACAAAAGAAAAAATAACTGATTTTCAGAACCACACAAATACTAAATTATATCTAGTTTTATATTTTGATTTCAAAATTAGTTTTCACTGAAATTAATTGATAATGTAGAAATCAAACCTGCAGTCAGAAGAGTAATTTATGAATACTGTATTTGTAACAATACAAAAATAGTCCATTTCAAATTGTAATAATTTATCATGATAAGACTGCTACCTGTTCTTTCTATTTTTGCTTTTCCTATGGGGATCACAAAGTCCTTTGACTGAACTTCCTCAGAGACTTCAAAGGCCACACCATACATCAGTTCATTTTCCAGAAAGACAACTGCATAAAAATAAGTGGTTAGGTTAACGATAACAACTTGCATTTATATAGTGCCCCTCAAGCAGCGTAGTGTCTCAGAGCGCTTTACAGTGATGGAATGGAGCATGACATTGAGTCGGGGGCGTGGGGGGGAGGTGACCGTAGGCACGATCGAAGAGGAAGATCTTCAGGTGCAACCTGAAGAGGGAGGCATGAAGAGAGGAAGAGTGTTTTGGGGTATAGTGGCTGAAAGCGTGGCTACCAATGGTGGAACGGAGGGCACGAGGGGCAAGCAGGAGGCCGGAGGCAGCAGGTAGTGAGTTGGGCCGTTCGATCATAAGGAGTCAGTGGATCCCGGCTAGAACTGGCGTAATGGGGGTACAAAGTTTAGTACAGGTGAGCATGTGGGTGACAGAATTTTCGATTAGCTAGATTTTGTAAGTAGTGGAGCTGGGGAGACTGGTGAGCAGGGCATTTGAATAGTTAAGGTGGGAGGTGATGGACGCTTGCAGGATGACACTTGAACATCAGCTCAGAGTTCTGTAACAAGCCTGGGACAGGAAATAAACTTCAAATGTATCCTATTAAAAGTGTGCGTTTTTACAAAGTATTTTTACTGCAAAAATAATATCCTTAACTTATTTCAGCATTCACACTTAATCCTTATTGAGACAATAGTACTGTACGCAACACAATCCGAGTTAAAAATGTTCAGTGCATCAGGTGAAAAAACATTCCAACCACTGCTTTAAAAAACGCTCACCAGGGTTGTCATCTCGAATAGCAGCTTTTAACAAGCCTTTAGCATCTTCGGCACTCCAAGGGCTAACCACCTTCAATCCAGGGCAGTGGCTGTACCAGGAGGCAAAGCACTGTGAATGTTGAGCAGCCACTCCTGCAGAAGCACCGTTTGGACCTCTGAAGACAATAGGAACAGGTACTCTGCCTGCGGACATGTAATATGTTTTAGCTGCAGAATTTATAACTTGGTCAATGGCTTGCAAAGAGAAATTGAAGGTCATAAATTCACAGATGGGCCTCAGGCCAGCCTGAAAAGTTAAAAAAGAGGTAATTTTATAACATTTACAATAAACAAAGTTACCAGAATTAGAATTCACTAAATATTTGATACTTTATGAACTTTTCAGCATTCTGAAACAATCACACATGAAGGGCACTATATAAAAGCAAGCTGTGGCTGTCTTGATTGAAAATTCACTCCACTGCTTTTCATTTTTGATCTTTACCTACTTATGTTCAAATATTCAATCATTTACCAAATTTTAATATGATCAAAATAGTAATTTCATAGATACATAGATAGAAAATAATAAAACACAACAAGTACAGCTTTACTGAAAAATAACTCTATTTTAAACAGAATATTCACTATCTTGTGTATATTACTTTCATGCACTTCATGTTTAAAAGCACATTATGAAAAAATTACATACCATAGCAGCACCCACTGCAATTCCTGCAAAACCCATCTGGAACAGACAATTTATTGATGGGTGTTAGAATGTGAAATTGTTTCAAAAATGCAAATTAACTAAACATCCATTGCAAAGTAGAAACATACCTCTGAAATAGGAGTGTCTATTATTCGCTTGTCTCCCCATTTCTTCCACAAACCACGACTCACCTGCAGTAACATAACTATGAGTGTTTTCAACCATGTTAATACCTTCAATATGACATGCATCCAAATTATAATCACCAACATCCTTTATATCTCACCTTATATGCACCATCATATTGTGCCACCTCCTCTCCCAGAAGAAACACTTTTTCATCTCGTTCAAGCTCTTCATCCAGGGCCTGGTTGAGAGCATCTCGAACAGCTAGCTACAAAAATACGCGAAACAGTCAAAGCAAGTTACACATTCAGAATCTGAAAATTGTGTTTTTGTAGATAATCTGATCTCAAGCACTTTCAGACACAGCAATAAGTAGGGCTGAGGTCTTAGTGATCGAGCGGCGGCCATTACTTGTTTCAGGTGGAGCCGCCATTTCACAATCTCCCACCTCAACCCCCGTGTGACGTCACTTCCCCCTCCAGGTTTGAATCCCTGGAACCAGGTGTAGCATAGTCTATTATTGGTATCTCCTTCCCCTCCAATGAGTGCCCTGCCCTGTCCCTCCTCTGCGGCGCCTCTAGCCCCGCAGTCTCCGTGCCTGTGGGCTGACCACACCCCACTAACCACCTGCCTCAAGTCTCAGCATGCGCATCTTGGTTGCCGCCCCCAACTCGAGCTGCTTTCCCCCCAAAATGCTCCCCACCCTGCAACTCTCCCGTTCTATCCTCCTCTCTCTCGCTCTCTCTCTCTCTGTCCTCCTCGCCTCCCATTTGACCATCCCACAGCCTCCCTCTGCTCCAGCTTGGGAATCCTCCATCAAGCTCACTGTGGCACTCGCCATTGGCTGTCCAGCAGCAGCCACACTGACTGCCCCATTCCCACTATCACCGCAAACCCCGCCAGACCCACACCCCGGAGGCTAACCTCACATTCCCACCTTCTCTGCCAATCCTCTTACCACCCACCTCCCATCTCACACATTCCTCTGCCGATTGCCCCCTCCGCATCGGTCTACAAAATGTCTGCTCCCTTTCTAACAAGGCTCACGCCATCAACGACATCATCGTTGATAAAAACATCAATATCCTGGCCCTCACTGAAACCTGGATCACCCCAGGCAACACCTTCCCCCTGACTGAGGCCACACCTCATCATGCTCCACGTCCTAACCTCCTTGGCTCTGGTGTGGCCCTCATCTCCAGGTCCTCATTTGCTCTATCCCACTACTCCTCCAGCTCATCTCCCTCTTTCGAGCACCTCACCCTCTACCATCCCTTCAATCTTTTCCTGAAAATTATTGTCCCCCCAAACTCTCCCCGAACTTCATCTCTGACAAACTGTTTACCGAGCAGTAAGAAGGAACCCGGTCGTTAGTCGATTGGTGGATTGCTTTTCCGGGGGTAATAACGCCTTAAAAAAAAGTAATAATAATTTGGTCACTTCAATCCATGACTGTTTGTGGGACATTGCTGTGCACAATTGGCTGCCACGTTTCGCCCACAAAATATACATTAAATTCACTTTACTATATATTCTGTGAAGCGCTTTGAGACGTCTCGAAGACATGATAAAGCTCTATATCAAATGCAAGGATTATTATTATATTATTATCTCTGCCCTTCGAGCTTCCTTCTACCTCTGTTCTGAATGCTCCTTACCCTGGGCGACTTCAAACTGTACTTCACTCCCTCTTGCTCTATGTTCACTAACTCCTCTCCTCTCACAACCTTTCCCTCCACATCCACTCTGCCACTCACGTTCATGGCCACCCTGGTGATTATGTGTCTCAAACCTCATAATCACCGATAAAGCCATTCCAGATCACCATTTTATCTCCCTTAACTCCTCAATCCCTGCCCCCACCGCTTCCCAACAACAAAATTACCCAAGACGTCCCAAGGCGCTGGACAGAGTTACGGACGCGAGCTGCGGGTAGGGGTGGGGAAGGGTGAAGGGCAGGGGGGGAAAGTAGGGAGATCAAAAACACGGTCGAAGAGGAGGGTCTTAAGGTGGATCCTGAAGATGACGAGGGAGGGACTCCAGGATGGAGTTCCAGGATGGCGGGTGCAACCCACTTCCATCTCTTACTGCCGGTGGAAAAGAATCTCCTCGCACTCCCTCTCCGTTGCCCTGGAGTCATCTGACCTCCTCCCTCTCCCACAACAACTTACCCTTATCGGTCACTCTCCTCCACAACTCCCTCTCCACCATTGATGCCCTTGTTCCCTCACCTCCTGAACTATCTCCTACTCACGCAACTCACCCTGGTACACGAGCCACCTCTGGTCACTCAAGAGTCAGGTGTGCAGCTGAACTAAAATCTGATTTAATGGTCCACTGGCAGATCTGGCCGGACCATATAAAAACTTACCGCTCTGCCCTTGCCTCTGTTAAATTGTCCTTCTATTCCAAGATAATCTTGGAGACCAAGTACAACCTCAGGCTCCTTTTCTCCACTACCAACCGGCTCCTCCATCCACCCTCTCACGCCTCACCCGTCCTCTCCTCTAACTCCCAACTACGAGATGCTGAATTTCCTCGAGACCAAAGTCAAGGGGATCTGTTTAGCCACCTCCGCCCTCCCAACCGCCGCCTCCTCCCCATCTCTCCCTTAAACACTGGCCCCAACCCATCTCTCTCTCTCCATATCTTCAAACCTGTCTCACCACCACTATAACCCGCATGAAGTCCACCACCTGCTCCTTTGACCCCATCCCTAACCTCTCCTTACCTCCCAGCTCCACCTCCTCGCACCTTTACTCTCATACCTCGTCAACCTCTCCCTGTCAACTGACAGTGTTCCCACCCCCCTAACAACAGCTGTCATGCAGATGATACCCAACTCTATCTCTCTACCTCCACCCTCGACTCCAGGACTACTGAGGTCCTGACAGACTGCCTATCAGACATCAAGTCCTGGGTGAGAGCCACCTTTCTACAGTTGAACATCAGCAAGACCGAGTCTCTCTCGATTGGCTTTCCCCCACCTCCGCAACATTGCTGGACTCCGCCACTGCCTCACCCCTTAGTACACTCCTCATACATGCCTTCATTACATATAGGCTTGAGTATGCCAATTCCGCAACACCACACAGCTCTGCCACTGCCTCACCTCTCAGGCAACCGAAACCCTCATCCATGCATTCATCACATCTAGGTTTGACTACGCCAACTCCCTGCTTGTCGGCCTTCCCAACTCTTCCCTCCACAAGCTGCAGATCATCCAGAACTCTGCAGCTCGTGTCCTCTCCCGCACCAGGCTCTGTGACCCCCATCACACCCACCCTCGCCCAGCTCCATTGACTCCCCATCCCCCAGAGGATAGAGTTCAAAATCCTCATCCTCACATTCAAGGCCCTCCATGGCCTTGCCCTCTCCTATCTCTCCGACCTGCTAACCCCCTTATCAACCTGTCTGCTCTCTCCGCTCAACAGGCTCTGGCCTCCTCCATGACCCCTGCCTAGCCCGCACCACCATCGAGGATCGGGCCTTCAGCCTCTCTGCCCCCACGCTCTGGAACTCCATCTCACATTTCCTTCACTTCACTTCTTCCCTTGCCTCCTTTAAGGCACGCCTCAAGACCCTCCTCTTCAGTCGTGCCCCAACAACAACAACAAGATTCCATTTACAGAGCGCCTTTCACATCGGGAGGACGTCCCAAGGCGCTGTACAGTTGGGTCAGGACCCGAGCAAGGGGGAAATGGTCAGGGTGAGGGGAGGGAAGGAGCGAGGAGGGGGTAGAAAGTCGAGAGGGGAGCTGAAGGCACGGTCAAAGAGAAAGGTCTTGAGACCGGCCTTGAAGGAGGAAAGGGAGGAAGCGGCGAAGGCACTGGGGGATAGAGTTCCAGAGCCTGGGGCTGAGAGGCTGAAGGCCCGGCCACCGATGGTAGGGCGGTTGGGGCGGGGGATGTGGAGCAGACCGGAGCCAGAGGAACGGAGGGTACGGGCAGGTAGGTAGGGGGATAGTAGGTCGGAGAGGTAGGAGGGAGCAAGGCCGTGAATGGCCTTGTAGGTGAGGATGAGGATCTTGAATTCGATCCTCTGGGGGATGGGGAGCCAGTGGAGGCGAGCGAGGGTGGGAGTGATGTGGTCCCGAAGCCTGGTGCGGGACAGTACACGAGCTGCAGAGTTCTGAATGACCTGCAGCTTGTGGAGGGAGGTGCCGGGAAGGCCGGCGAGGAGAGAGTTCCCATAGTCCAGCCTTGAGGTGATAAAGGCGTGGACCAGAGTTTCAGCAGCGTGAGGGGTGAGGTAGTGCCGTAGTCTGGCGACATTCCGGAGGTGATGGAAGGCGGTGCCAGTTGTGGCGCGGATATGAGGGAGAAAGGACAGCTCAGGGTCGAACAGAACCCGAGGTTCCTGACTGGCTTTGAGAGGTGGAGAGTGCAGCCTTGGATGCTGATGCTGTCAGCGCCTGAGGTGCGGAGGCGCTGACGTGAGCCAATCAGGAGGGCCTCAGTTTTGCGCACGTTGAGCTGAAGAAAGTTGTCTCTCGTCCAGGACTCGATGTCGGACAGGCAGCTGTCAGGACATCGGTGGTCGTGGAGTTGAGGGTAGAGGAGGAAAGGTAGAGTTGGGTGTCATCCGCATACATGTGGAAGTTAACCCCATGTCTGCGGATGATGTCACTAAGGGGGAGCATATAGAGGGTGAAGAGGAGGGGACCGAGGACAGAGCCCTGAGGGACACCGCACGAGACAGTGCGGGGGCTGAAGGAAAAACCATTCGTAGAAACAAAGTGGGAGAGGTACGACCTAAACCACTCAAGGACAGGGCCTTGAAGGTTGAGGTGGGAGGACAAGTGGTGGAGGAGGATAGCGTGGTCGACCGTATCGAATGCTGCCGATAGGTCGAGGAGGACGAGGAGGCAGAGGGAGCCCTGGTCACAGATGGTCAGGATGTCATTGGTGACCTTGACCAGGGCAGTTTCTGTGCTATGGGCAGCACGGAAACCCGACTGAAGGGGTTCGAATAATGAATGGGTGGAGAGGAAAGAGCGCAGCTGGGAGGCGACAACTCGTTCCAGGACCTTGGACAGGAAGGAGGTTGGAGATGGGCCGGTAGCTTGATAGCTGCGACGCATCAAGGGAGGGTTTTTCAAGGTGGAAGTGATGGTGCCAGTTTTTAAGGGAATGGGAACAGAGCCGGAGGAGAGCGACAGGTTGACGATGTCTGTGATATGTGGGGCAAGGAGGTGGAGCTGGGAGATAAGGAGTGGAGTGGGGATGGGGTCAAGGGAGCAGGTGGTGGGTTTCAGGGATAGGATGAGTTTGGTGACAGAGGGTGGGGAAACGGGTACGAAAGTGTGTAGGGGAGGATGGGTAGGAGTCGGAGTGTGGGAGGGAGGGGGTGAGTGGGTGGATGTTGGAGGGGAAGTGACCGCGGAGCGAATTCCCTTGATTTTGGATTCAAGGAAATCCAGCATCTCCTCGCAGTGAAGGTTGGAGGAGATGACCTGTGCGGGGTGGCGGGAGGGGACGGAGGAGACGGGATGTGGTGGAGAACAGTAGCCTGGGGTTGTTCTTCGCCTCCAGGATTATCCTGGAGTAGAAGGACGACTTGGCCGAGGCTAGAGTGGAGCGGTAGATTTTGAGGAGGTCCAGCCAGATTTGTCGGTGGACCGTTAGGCCAGATTTGACGCAGGTGCGTTCAGCGGCCCGCACCTGGCTCTTCAGTGAGCGGAGGTGGGTGGTGAACCAGGGGGAGGAGCGAGAGTAGGAGACAGTACGGGAGGTGATGGGGGCAAGAGTATCGAGTGTGGAGGAGAGGGTGTTGTGGAGGAGGGTGAGAGGAGAAGAGGGGTCAGTGAGGGTTGAAGGCCAGAGGGAGAGGAGTTCAGAGGACTCCAAGGCAGTGCACCCCCCACTCGGGTCCTAATGCCTAATTGTTCAGCACCTTGGACGTCCTCCCGACGTAAAAGGCGCTTTACAAAGTAATTTTTGTATTGTACTGTGTCCTCTCGACATGAAAAGTGCTGTATAAATGTAAATTGTATTGTACTGTATAGATCACAATCCATTTTTAAAAGAAATACTCTTAATATTCTAAAAAGGGACAATTAGGATCCTTAGGTTGATTATTTTGATTAATTATTTTGTTCCATTGCGTGATTTCAGGATGAACTTAATCCCTGTAGTATTGTCTCTGCAAATCTCAGGCAATTTCCAGTAGTCAGGTACAACTTAGGCCAACGCAGGTGACCACACACGATAAGAAGCGAGGAGAGAGAGGGAGGCAGGAGAGAGAGGGAGGGAGGAGAGAGAGGGAGTGAGGGAGGGAGGAGAGAGAGGGAGGCAGGGAGGGAGGGGAGAGAGGGAGGGAGGAGAGAGAGGGAGTGAGGGAGGGAGGGAGGAGAGAGAGGGAGGCAGGGAGTGAGGGAGGGAGGAGAGAGAGGGAGGCAGGGAGAGAGGGAGGGAGGAGAGAGAGGGAGTGAGGGAGGAGAGAGAGGGAGTGAGGAGAGAGAGGGAGTGAGGAGAGAGAGGGAGGGAGGGAGAGAGGGAGGGAGTGAGGAGAGAGAGGGAGGCGGGAGGAGGGAGGGAGGAGAGAGAGGGAGTGAGGGAGGAGAGAGAGGGAGGGAGGAGAGAGAGGGAGGCAGGGAGGGAGGGAGGAGAGAGAGGGAGGGAGGAGAGAGAGGGAGTGAGGGAGGAGAGAGAGGGAGGGAGGAGAGAGAGGGAGGAGGGAGGGAGGAGAGGGAGGGAGGGAGGGAGGGAGAGAGGTGTGGTGACCCCCGCTGTACCTGCACTGCCGCCGGCCGCGTCTGATGAAACTCCCGCCGCAGCAGTAGGCCCAGGATACCCTGAGGAAGCAAAGCAGAGCGGGATGTTAGTGTCCGGCCGGGAGCTGCTGAGCAGCCACTTTCATTGACTAACTGACTGATCCCCGACCGACATCTTCAGACCCTCAATGACAGGTGACAGGTGACGGGCCCTACACTACCGCCTCACCTTTCCGGCGCCGCTCCCGCTCCTCAGCGCCGCCATTTTCTCAATGCCCTTCACCGAGACTCGCGCTGAGCCGTCGCTTCATCAGCCAACCAGCGGCGGCGACACATGGAGCGCGGTCCCACCCCCGTTCCCGCCCAATGGGAGAGCGCGGTGCAGCGGCCGCCAAATCCCGCCCAGAGAGCGGGGACAAGAACCACCACAAGAAGAAGATTACATTTGTAAAGCGCCTTTCACGTCGGGAGGACGTCCCAAGGCGCTGGACAGACAGAGTTACTGACCCGATGTGGGGGTCGGGGGGGGGGGGGGGGAGCAGGGAGATTGAAAGCACAGTCGAAGAGGAGGGTCTTGAGGTGGGTCTTGAAGATGGTGAGGGAGGGACTGCAGGAGGGAGTTCCAGAGGGTGGGGGCAGAGTGGCGGAAGGCCCACCCGCCAATAGTGGGGTGAAAAGGCGGGGGACATAAACCAGTCTGGAGCCGCTGAGCGGAGTGAGCGAACAGGGTGGTAGGGGGTTAGGAGGTCGCAGAAGTAGGAGGGAGCAAGACCATGGAGGGCTTTGAAGATATAATAATATGATAATAATAATCCTTGCATTTGATATAGCGCTTTTCACATATTCTCGACGTCTCAAAGCGCTTCACAGAATAGACTGTAAAGTGAATTGACAGTATATTTGTGGGCAAAACGCGGCAGCCAATTGTGCACAGCAATGTCCCACAAACAGTCTTGGATTGAAAATGACCAATTTATTATTGTTTTTGGAGGGATTATTAGGCGTGTGGAGTAAGGAAACTTGCCCAAGGTTTTGCCCTGCCTGGAATTGTTTGCAAGGCGAGTGCTCTAACCACTGAGCTACAGGTCTCCACAAGATGAGGATCAGGATCTTGAATGGTATCCTATGTGTGATGGGAAGCCAGTGGAGTTGGGCAAGGATGGGGGTGATAGGGTCGCAGAGCCTGGTGCGGGAGAGGACACGGGCTGCTGAGTTCTGGATGATCTGCAGCCTGTGGAGGGAGGAGTTGGGGAGGCCGACAAGCAATGAGTTTGCCTCAATGTAATGAAAGCATGTATGAGACAAGGGCAGAGACAGGATTATAACATTTGTCAAACACAGCTTGCCTTTTATAAATCTCTGCTAACTCTTTAAGTAATGCTGCACTATCAAATTAATTTGAGGTTTGATTTCTTGCGGGTGTTCCTTTATTAGATGGACTTGTCTAGAAATACTGTAACTTGCATACTGATACCCAGCACAAGTTATTCAATATACGTTGTGCTGGGTACGTTCCAAAGGGAGAGGGAAAAGAGGCTGAAGGCTGACTGACCAACAGACAGTGAGTGTAGGTGTAAGAAGCAGACTAGAGTTGCCAAAGCGGAGGAGTAGTTGAGTGAATAGGGTTGCAGGAGACTGCAGAAATTGGGTAGTGCAAGACCATGGAAGCATTTGAAGGTGAGAACTAGGACCACCACAGGCAGCTGCTTGATTGCCAGTTGCCAAGCATGTCATTTTGGAGCCAGTACAGCTCCAATGAGACCCTGTTTATCTCCCGCCAAGGAGGAATAGTCGAAAACTATGTGGATGGTAGTTTGCCCACAAAAATATACAGTCAATTCACTGGTCATTTGCTGTCGCAATTGGCTGACTCGTTTTGTCCACAAATATGCAATCAATTCACTTTACAGTATATTCTGTGAAGCACTTTGTGACATCTACAAGATGTGAAAAGCACTATATCAAATGCAAGGTTTTTTTTTATTTACTGGGGTGGGGTGGAGCTGCAGTCCCCAGGTGATGATTGGTTTCTGCAGCACTCTGAGATGTTACCATGCGTGGAAGGCGCTATATAAGTGCAAGTTGTTGTTGCAGATGTCACACACCTAGCTGACCAAAAAAATAGGTGGATGGCAGTTTGCCCACAAAAATATACAGTCAATTCACTTTGCAGTATATTCTGTGAAGCGCTTTGAGACGACTCGAAGACATGATAAGACTCTATATCAAATGCAAGGATTTATTATCTATGGAGGAAAGTGAGTTAACATTTCAGATTGATGACCTTTCTTCAGAACTGGGGAATGTTGGAAGGGAGCAGTTTATAAGGACAAGCAAAGAAGGGGGTGGGGAAAAAAAGGAAAAAATTAGGTGGAGGACAGTAGATGATGAGATCACAGGTGTTGATGGTGCAAGACAAAAGAAGGCAATAGTGGGAGATTGTAGAGAACAAAGATGTGTCTGAGACCCAGACGATGTATGAGTGGTTATTGAATGGGAGGCCAGGCTGAGAAGATGGGAGCTGTGTTTAAGGTCTGAAGTGGTTAACATCAATGTTGAGGTGCATGGTAGGTAGATGAGATGTTGGGAGGTAGATGAGGTGCTGTTCTGCGCTTGTGTGATCCTTCGTTGGAACAGCGTAAGAGGCCATGGTCAGAGTGGGAATGGGAAGGATGCAGGCAACCGGATACTCAGGATTGCACTTGCGGATAGAACGGAGGTGTTTGGCAAAACGATCACCAATCTGCATTTGGTCGCCTTGATGTAGAGGAAACCACATTATGAGCACCGAATACAATATAATAATAATAATCCTTGCATTTGATATCGCGCCTTATCACGTCTTTGAGACATCTCAAAGCACTTCACAGCATATACTGTAAAGTGAATTGACTGTATATGTTATGGGCAGCACCTATAGTGCGTTAGTGGAAGTACATGTAAATCACTGTCTCACTCATTGTTGGGAGGAAGTGAATGGGCAGGTGTTGCGTCTCCTGCAATGGCAATGGAAAGGCACCGAGGAGGAGGGGGGAGAGGGGAAGCAGTGTTAGTGGTGATGGAGTGAACCAGGGAGTCATGAAGGGAGGAATGCCGGGGGGGGGGGGGGGGGGGGCAGATACCGCGCTTTTCTTGCCTTGATCAAAGATGGCGGCGCCGGGTTCCAGCTGTCACAGCGGCTGCGAGGCAGCGCGGAGCGAATCACTGCGCATGCGCAGCGCTTGTCCGGCTGGAGTCGGGGATCGAGTGTCGGCGCGGCCTGAGGCTGTCACTGACGCCGCGGGAGCGGAGCCGCACCGCTCTCCTCTCTCCGGTCAATAAGCGCTCGTCCAAGCACATGGATAATGGAGACCGGGGCCAGAAGGTAAGGTAAACGGAGGTCGGAGCGGGCGGGAGTGTGGCCCGAGCTCGGGAGGCGCTGCAGCAGCTCCCCCCCCCCCCCCCCGTCCCCTGGCGGCCTCTGGGCAGTCTGCGGGGACACGCGCTCCGCCGGCATTGCTCCTCAGCCTCCACACCAGCAGCTCCAGAAACCTGCGGGGAAAATGGAAACCCAATCTAACTGGGGTTTATTTCAGAGGGAGACTGGGGGGGATATAAATGCAACTTGAGTTGTAATCTCCCTCTGAAATAAACTCACGTTAGAATACATTAGAATATACAGCACAGAAACAGCCCATTCGGCCCAACTGGTCTATGCCATTGTTTATACTCCACATCCCCTCCTCCTGCTCTTCCTCAACTAAGCCTTCAAGCATAACCTTCTATTCCTTTCTCCTTCATGTACCTATCTAGTTTCCCGTTAAATACATTTATACTATTTGCCTCAACAACTCCTTGTGGTAACATGTTCCACATTCCCACTACTCTGTGTGAAGAAATTTCTTCTAACTTCCCTATTTGATGTTTTTGTGACTATCTTATATTGATGGCCCTGGTTTGAGTCTCCCACACAAGTGGAAACATCTTCCCTATGTCTACCCTATCAAAACCTTTCATCATTTTAAAGACCTCTATCAGGTCACCTCTTACCCTCCTCTTTTCAAGAGTCCAAGTATGTTCAGCCTTTCCTGATAGGTATGGGATCGGTTCTGGGATCATCCTTACAACACACACACACACTGTATTTTGCTGTTTATTATTCCTAATGTTGTTAATGCAGTTTGAAATCCCAGGAGTTCTCCTTCCCATTCCTCTCGTTTGTTGAACCAGAGGAGATTCAGTCAACGGTAGCTGTTTTCACACCAGGAGAAAAGCAATTTGCTTGCTTGCATATGCTTTCTTATGTCCCATTTTTGTGTGCACAATTAATCCCACCTCACCTCTGTGTGCCAAGTGTGAAGAGCCGATGCCAACTGTTACAGGAACCCTGCACTGATGCGTTCTTGCAACCCAAAGAAAACTAGTTCCATGCCACTGTACTAAGACACCAGTGTTTAATTACAAGCAGTTCGTTGTCGGTCCGTGAGCAAAAATCATACATTTATATATGAAATGTCACTAATCTGGTGCATGATAACGTTTGAATTGAAGCAGAGAAGGTTACGAGGAGACCTAATAGAGGTCTTCAAAATCATGAGGGGATTTGATAGGTTAGAAAGGGAAAAACTGTTTCCTCTGGTGGGTGTGTCGGTGACTCGAGGTCACAGATTTAAAATAGTCTCTAAAAGAAGCAGAGGGGAGGTGAGAAGACATTTTTTCATGCAGCGAGTTGTTCAAATCTGGAACGCATTGCCTGAAAGGGCGGTCGAGGCCGATTCGATAACTACTTTTAAAAATACGGTGGACGGGCATTTGAGGACGGGTTTGCATGGTTATGGGGAAGGGGCTGGGGAGTGGGATAGACATTACACTGCTCTTTTCAAAGAGCCGCACAGACTCGATGGGCCGAATGGCCTCTTTTTGTGCTGTACAATTCTATGATTTTATGAATTTGTGATGTCTCTCGGCGATGAAGTTTCTGTTCTTCGTTAGTATTTCTTTGTTCTCGTCATATAGTGGTGTACAGGGGTACTTTATTGTAAAATGTGCACAATATGGTGCACATCTTACAATAAAGTATGTATTATACTGTATAACTTTTATTCCATTGAATGTGCTGTTATATGCTGAATCACAGCACCAGTTGTATAACCAAAATGAACAAATTTGTTTAATATAATTTGGATAATAAAGGTAAACAAGGTTAGTAATGGGTGCAATAATGCCAAGGATGGAGTAGGTACAGTGGATTAGTGTGAGATAACTATTCATTCATGTTCTAATCTTACTAAATGTTTTCTTATTTCAGATGTCTGATCCAGTCACTCTTAACGTAGGAGGACACATGTATTCAACATCACTTTCAACTCTGACAAGATATCCAGACTCCATGCTGGGAGCAATGTTCCGGGGAGATTTCCCCAGTGCCAGAGACGCCCAAGGAAACTACTTTATCGACAGAGATGGCCCTCTCTTCAGATACATCTTGAATTTTTTAAGGACAGCTGAGCTGATATTGCCACTAGGCTTCAAAGAAATTGATCTTCTTAGAAAAGAGGCTGATTTCTATCAGATAGAACCTCTGATTCAGTGTTTGAACGACCCCAAGCCCCTCTATCCATTAGACACCTTTGAGGAAGTGGTGGAACTTTCCAGTACTCGCAAACTTTCCAAATATTCCAACCCAGTGGCCGTTATCATAACACAACTGACTATTACCACAAAAGTGCACTCATTGTTGGAAGGAATCTCCAACCATTTCACAAAGTGGAACAAACACATGATGGATACCAGGGACTTCCAGGTATCCTTCACATTTGGACCATGTGACTATCACCAGGAGGTGTCCCTTCGTGTTCACCTGATGGAGTATATTGCAAAGCAGGGATTTACTATTAGAATGACAAGGGTGCATCACATGAGTGAGAGAGCAAACGAGAACACTGTAGAACACAATTGGACCTTTTGTAGATTGGCATGGAAAACGGAAGACTGAACTGACCTTCTTTGCAGTGATAAATAATGCAACTGAGATGAACAGCAAAAACATCGCACAATAATTTAGTTGAAGACTCCAGGTAACCATGTACTAACACAAATTCTACAGTTCCATTATAAGTTCTTGTGTAGTACACAAACTTATTTCAATGCATACTGTAACCAAATTATACAGTTAAATCTCGTGAACTTATTGTGTATTAGCTTTCTGGTGTAGCTTAATTTTTTTAAGCATTAAGATTCCTGATAGATTTTAAGTTTTCCTTAAATACATAAATTTATGTATCTTTTGCTGGTTTGTTTTCTCAGTGTACCTTATCAAATAAACACAATATCAAAAATGTTAAGTGTATATATATTTTTGTTTCACATACTCTTCAAGCTGTATTGGAAAAAATATTAATTCAAAGCAAGAATAATCTAATGGCTGGCTGCAGGAAATGTCATACTCAACTGTTTCTTATGATCTCGCAAGCTCTGTGAAGTTTGCCAATGATTCCCTTGCATTAGTGTCATTTAAAGTGCAAAATCCAGTATCAAAGCTTGGAATATGCTGACTGAAAATGAGGCTTCAAATATTTTTCATAGGCTGTGTTTACCTGTAGAAATAAAACCATTAATCAACAACAGCATCTTGCATTTATACAACATCCTTCTTGTAGGGTCACTCTTTATGAAGTTCAACTTCAAATATTCTTGTTTCCAAAATAATGTCAATGATCAGCTGATTAAAATAAGATGATCAGCTAATTAAAACCTCATGTTGCCATTCAACCATTGGCATTTTCAAGTCTCTTCCACTCCTTGCTTTACAAGTCGTTGGCTGTGCCTTCCTTTTTGATTGTGCTTACTGTCACCTCCCCCCAACCCATCCTACCTGTGTAATCCTGCTGGGATGGGGTGAGACCATGGGAATATTTTTTAAAAGGATGAGAATCTTGAATTCAAACTACTGGGGAATTGGTAGCGAGTGGAGTAAGGATGGGCGTTATGGGCTTATGGAGCCTGGTGTGGGAGAATACACAGGTTCCAGATGTTCTGCAGCTTGTAACATCAACAACTTGCATTTATATAGTGCCTTCACATGGGGTAGGGTCCCAGAGCGCTTGACAGTGGCGAAGTCTGATCCCGAGCCAGAGGGAGGGGGGAGGTGACTGTAGGCACAATCAAAAAGGAAGGTTTTTAAGGTGGGATTTGAAAGTGGGGAGGCAGGGGGTAAGGCAGAGGAATTGAGCAAGAAAGTTTTGGAGCCTACGAAGGCACGGCCAACGACTTGTAAAGCAAGGAGTGGAGGAGTCTTGAAACAGTCTTGAAAATGCCAATGGTTGAATGGCAACATGAGCTTTTAATTAGCTGATCATCTTATCTGTGCATTGACATTATTTTGGAAACAAGAATATTTGAAGTTGAATTTCATAAAGAGTGACAAGATATTTTCAAACTTTTCATGTATATCCTGTCTGCACCCTTAGCAATTCTGTATTTTTTTCCACAAATAAATATTCAGAACTGTGAATACAGAATTGTAGGAGATCAGATTGAACACAGTAATATGGTGTGCCATATTGATAACAAAGGTTGGAATGCAGGGAAATAAATAGACAGCAAATGTAATTGTAAATCTGCAACTATAACAAAAAAAATAACTGATCCCAGTTGGCTTCAGTATGATTATTTCAGTCTTACAATTTTAAAAAAAACAGGATGGTAGGGTGGCGGGCAGGGGAAGTTCTGTGCTACTCAAGAGATGTCATTATTTGGAAATGGAATCCATAACCCACGTTTTGTACCCAGGGCACTCCCAAGCTAGAGAGAGCTCCTGCCAGATGTAGAGAAAGGCTGCTGCTGCTCAAACTAACTCCAACTTAAAGAATAACTATCACTGCTGTATCCCGGTGATGCATTTTGGTTTCCCCACTAACCATCATAATCACCTTCTGACTAAGGTTGCTATATTGGTTTTGTTGTGCTGTGCTCACCAGGGGCCAAGTTCAGACTTGCTTGGACTCAAACCCAATTTAGTTTGGGACAATTCTTAAGGAATATCATATTCTGGAGTGTGTGTGGGGTAGTGTTTGTGTGAGGGAAGTTGGCCAACATCAATACTCCTCCACAGCATTCAATTCTCAACTTAAATTATCCAAGATTTTGCTAAAATGTCCCCTAGAATTTGAGTTTGCAAGTATTTTCAAGGTCATCTGAGGGAAGGAAAACTGGCTCAAATACATCTCTTGGCAAGACAACTAAGCAACTGACAATATTTTTGAAAATGGGTTAGACTGGATCTTTCCGTTCTGTGGAACTAAATCGGCGTGTTTATACATGAAGACGGTAAATTTAAATAACAAAAATTAAACTATTATTCAGCTGCAGACTGCATCTTTGATTCAAAGAACACCTAATAATTTAAACTGACTACAAGACAATCCATTAGGATTTGTGCAATGACTGCACGGACATTAACAGGTTACATTAACCATGCAGTGCGTATCAAGTGAATCCAGGAAGCATAGTGAGGAAACATGGCTCTCGGTGGAGGACACACATTGAATGCAGTTTGTAATAACTTGTCAATAATTATGCTTTTTTTCTAAGTGAAATCTGTTTTAACTCTTTAAACTTATTAACTTGGTGCATCATTTGGTGCAGTTCAACGTCCAGATTAGAGAGCTAACAACATTATTAATGAAGCTGTGCAAAGGGGACTTTAACTATAGCAATTGACAGAATGAGCTGCTGAATGAGCTGGCTGTGGTGTGTTTTTTGTCTAAAAATTTGCAGATGCTGTAAATCTGAAATAAGAATATGCAAATCTGATCAACATTCAAGAGAGACAGATTAATGTTCCGGGACATAACATAACATGTAGGAGCAGGAGTAGGCCATTCGGCCCTTCGAGCCTGCCCCGCCATTCAATCATGGCTGATCTTCTAATCTAACTCCAGCTAATAATATAAACCTGCTTTATCCCCATATCCCTTAATACCTTTTGCAATAAGAAATATATCTATCTCAGTCTTGAATATGTTCAAGGACTGAGCGTCAACAGCCCTTTGAGGTAGTGAGTTCCATACATTCACCCCTTTGAGTGAAGAAGTTCTTCCTCAACTCAGTGCGAAAGGGCTGGGCTCTGATTTTAACGTTGTGACCCCTGGTTTTAGTTTCTCCAACCAGGGGAAACAATCTCCCACTATCTACTCTATCATGCCTTTTGATGATCTTATAGGTTTCTATAAGATCACCTCTAATTCTTCTATATTCTAGAGAATATAGGCCCAAATTGGTCAGCCTATCCTCGTAACTCATCCCCTTCATCCCTGGTACTAACCTAGTAAATCTACACTGCACCCTGTCCAAGGTAAGTACATCCTTCCTTAAATGAGGAGACCAAAACTGCACACAGTATTCCAGGTGTGGTCTCACCAGGGCCCTATACAGTTGCAGAAAGACTTCCCTACTCTTATACTCTAATCCTTTCATAATGAATGCTAACATACCGTTCACCTTCCTAATTGCTGCTGCACCTGCAGACTAACTTTCTGTGATTGGTGTACAAGGACACCCAAGTCTCTCTGGACACTAACACATTCCAATCTCTCCCCTTCTAACACATAACCCGCTCTACTGTTTTTGCTACCTAGGTGGATGACTTTGCACTTCCCTGCATTATACTTCATCTGCCACCTACCTGCCCAATCATCTACCCTATCTATGTCGCGATGAATTTTTTTAAATGTCATCCTCTGTGTTGACACTTCCTCCTAGTTTTGTGTCATCCACGAATTTAGATATATTAACTTTGATGTCCTCATCTAGATTGTTGATGTAGATGGTAAATAGCTGAGGTCCAAGGACTGATCCTTGTGGCACTCCACTAGTTACATCCCGCCAATCTGAAAAGGACCCGTTTATCCCTACTCTTTGTTTCCTACCCGTTAACCATTCCCCAATCCACGTTAATATGCTCCACCCAATTCCATGAGCCCCTATCTTTTGGACTAACCTTTTATGCGGCACCTTATCGAATGCCTTCTGGAAGTCCAAATAGACCACATGCACTGATTCACCCTTATCTAGTTTACTCGAAATGTCCTCAAAATATTCTATGAGATTTGTCAAACATGACTTCCCTTTTGTAAAGCCATGTTGACTTGGCCTAATTATATTGTGCTCCTCTAAATACCGCACTACCACATCCTTAATCAACAATTCTAAAATTTTTCCTATTACTGATGTGAGACTAACTGACCTATAGTTCCCCATCTTTTCCTTTCCACCTTTTTTAAATAGTGGTGTGACATTTGCGATCTTCCAATCCATGGGGACTGTTAATAATATAATATTCCTTGCATTTGATATAGCGCTTTTCACGTCTTCTCGACGTCTCTAAGGCTTCACAAAATATCCTGTAAAGTGAATTGACTGTATATTTGTGGGCGAAACAAGGCAGCCAATTGCGCAGAGCAGTGTCCCACAAACAGTCTTGGATTCAAAATGACCAATTTATTATTGTTTTGTCTTGGAGGGATTATTCTGTTCCAGAATCCAAGGAATTTTGGAAGATCAGACACAAGGCCTCCACTATCTCATAAGCTACCCTTTTTAAAACCCTGGGATGCAAGCCATCTGGACCAGGGGATTTGTCATTTTTTAGTGCTAACAGCTTCCATATTACCAATTCTCTACTAATGAAAATTTCCCGAAGTTGCTCCCTGTCCTTATCCCCTTGGTGCATCTCTATTGTTGGCAGACTTGTTGTGTCTTCTCGGGTGAAGACAGATGCAAAATACCCATTTAGGGACTCTGCCATGTCCTTATCCCCCATTACAACTTCTCCCGTCTCTGACTGAAGTGGACCTACATTTATCCTCACTAGCCTATTCCTCTTAATGTATTTGTAAAATATTTTACAATCTGACTTAATGTTCCTAGCTAGCTTACCCTCATACTCCTTTTTCTTGCTCTTAATGAGTTTTTTTAGTTTTTTTTTGCTGGTTTCTAAAACTCTCCCAATCTTCAGATTTGCTGCTTTTCTTGGCAGTTTTATAAGCTTTTTCTTTTAATTTGATGCTTTCCCTAACTACTCTAGTTAGCTACGGATCAATTGCTTTCCCTGTGGTACTCTTATTCCGCAAGGGAATACGCGACTGCTGAAAATTATGCACTACATCCTTAAATATTTGCCACTGTTGGTCTACATTTTTTACCTCTTAATCTTATTCTCCAGTCTATTTTACCTAAATCTTTCCTCAAACCTACAAAATTAGCCTTATTTAAATTCAGAATACTTGCCTCGGATTTAACTATATCCCTCTCTAACTTAATGCAGCATTCAATCATATTGTGATCACTCTACCCTCGAGGAGTCTTCATACTTAACACTGCCAACTAGTCCTGTTTCGTTACACAAAACAAGATCTAGGATGGCCTGTCCCCTAGTTGGTTCCTCGGCATGCTGCTCTAGAAAGTTCTCTCTCATACACTCAATGAACTCTTCTTCTAACCTACTTTTGCTAATTTGGTTTTCTCAATCTATGTGGGTCCTTTATCAGAAGAGATGGTAAAATTACCTGTGATTGAGATACTGACAGCCCATTCTACATATACTGGTTCATGCTTTCAAATCTTTTCTTTCAAACATTTTTAAACCCGATTTAAAGAATGAACATATTCTTCATACATTGTTACATTTCAGAATGCATGAAACATCAGCCAATATTAGCAACATGAAGACAATGCCAAAAAAAGAGCAAATGGTACCTTTGCATTCATGGGCGCTTTCTGAGCCCATTCAAAGAGCCGTTGGTAAGCATGGCCATCGTAGCTCCCGATTGCAGAATGTAGCTGCTGGTCAGAATAGTCAAAGGCATCCACTAACGAAACAGCATCTTTCCTGAAACAGTAACATCAATATATTACTTATAATATTAACCAGCTGCACCCACTGCAGCCACGCTTGCAACCAGTTTCATTTAATCGGCTTTCTCTCTTTCGTCTAGCATTTTTATTTATCCTTGAAAGGCTTGATCTTCGCTTCTTAGGCATCTTTATCCCTTAAGATTAAGAAAATGTGCTATTCAACTTCTTAGCAACCCTTGTTCACGTATTTGCACAAATATCCCTTTGGGAGAACTCCTGTTGGTGTCTCTACGTCAATCGGTTAGACAGACACACAGACACTTTGTCTTTAATGGTAATAGATGTATCACTCTAGAAGGGAATGTGACCTCTGTTGCTATGTTGTTGCAAAATATCATGCATAGCTACTTTGTTGCAGAATACCATTCATACTTTTTTGGGCTTAATTAAAGCATTTTTAAAATATATTTTCTTAATATAACTCATCAACGATAATTCCTGAAAACTAATATGCCCATGACACTCCCCCATGCAAGACCTTTCCGATGAGGTATAAATCATGTCTATACGTCAATCGGTTACTGCGTTCTTGGCAGACAGACACACAGACAGACATTTCGTCTTCATTAGTACAGAAGATAATAATCATTGCATTTACTTTAGCACCTTTCACATCAGGAGAATGTCCCAAAACTCCTCACACGATTTACTGTTAAGTGACTCCATTTGTGAGAAATGCGGCAGGCGAATTGCACATAGCAATGTTCCAATTTTATTGAATGACAATTTTTATTTGGGGGTTTATTGGCCAGGACAGTGCAAGAAACGTTTCCTTTTAAGTACAACAACTTACATTTATATGATACCCTTTAACGTTTTGGAGTGCTTAAAAGTAGTAGTACCATGGAATCGTTAACACCCACCTGACCTTGGTGTAATGACTCATCCAAAGGACAGCTTGGACTATGTGAGTTCACATCCCAACTTGGGGCTTGAACCCACAACCTTTTGACGTAGAGGCAAGAGTGCTATCAACGTAGCCAGTCTGACACACAATGTAGTTGTTTTTTTACACTCCACTCTCTCAGGGTTACACAGTCACGACAGTAAGAGTGATATTTATATCAGCATTATGTTATTGATAAAATCTCAAAATGTACATGAACATACTGTATGTAGATTGTTGTTTCATGTTGTAAGGGAATGAATTTACCGAACACAAGTGAGAAGATCCCGTTGAGAAGCAGTCACCAAGTCCAGCTGATGCCCTGTCATATAACCATCATGGAGGAATTCCTCAGCATTGGCGAGGATGCCACTCAGTGCATACAAATCACACAGCACTTGAAGCACTTGCTGGATCTCAGGCTCATGCTGTAGTCTGGACATAGTCTCAACAAAATTATTCACAATTGTGTACTGGCAGTGAGCCTGGCAACAAAAAAAGCACAGTGAGAACATTAAACTAGCCATATATCAGAAGAATCCACAAGATGGCAAGAGAGATTTGGAAGGAAAACCCATGGCTGCATCCTACCATTCCCGTTTCACAGCAGTAAGCTGTTTTTTTAAACAATTCCAGCTTCCTGACCTCAACCACTCTTCCTCATAACTTGTTCCAATCATTCATTAACCTCTGGACAAAGAAATATTTCCTAGAGTTTGTCCTGAACTTGCACTTTGTAACCCTAAACCAATGTTGTCTTGTACTCTCTCGATGCATATATTGATCAAAGTTTACTCTCAATCTCATTTAAATCTTTTTACCTCTTTAAGGTCCCCCCTAAAATGCCTCTCGTTAACATTGATGAGTTTGTCTAATCATTGCTCATAGCCTGGGTCAATAGAAAAGTGCGACTAGACTTTTTCTGCTGAATCCACTGCAAACGACCTCCTCCACTACAGACACTTCCTTCACTACAAACCTGTACACACTAGGCCCCAGGCCTTTGCTCGATGCTGGTTCTGTGGGTGGAGCTCCGGTCGTGCATGCGTGTCGGGAAGTGTTGGGATGGCGGGGGGCGTCGGGATGGCGGGGAGCATTGGGATGGCAGGGAGTGTCGGCATGGCGGGGCGCGTTGGGATGGCGGGGAGCGTTGGGATGGCGGGAAGCGTTGAGATGGCGGGAAGCGTTGGGATGGCGGGGAGCGTGGATTGGGGATGTGGTGTGAAATCGGCTGTTCCCGGCCCCCACTACCTAAACTGAGCTCCTGCGACCAATTTTTGGTAAGTGCTGTGCATTTTTAATATTTTAAACATAACCGCATGTCCAGGAAATGTATGCCTATAGTTTTAATCCGAGTTGTTTTACAAAATGCGTCTCTCAAAAGCACCAATCATCCCTCTTTTCCGCAAACTTCACCAAATTTCTCCGAAATGTTGACAAACGCCCCACAATTTTTGGCAAATATTTCGACACTTTTCTGTTGGCCCAGCTCATGGCGCAACACCCACAAGCTGCCAAGACTGCTCCAAAATATAAAATCAAAAGAAATGAAAATAAATAGACTAATGTTGTGATTCCATCTAAAGTGCTTCATTATGGAATTGAAAGGGAGTGTGAATTGCATGTTGGGAATATCAGTTCCATCATTGTTAGTGCAGATGTAAAACAAAAACAGCATGTGATCTGGTACAGTAGCAGTTTCTGGCTATTTTCATGTGTATAGGCAGCTTACATAAGTGAAGCTCTCAGTCTGGGTTGGATACTCTTAAGCATGCTGATAGGTTTCCGCATCTATCAGACATCTAGCTGACCATACAAAATGGCTATTGTGCCAGACCACTTAAAGCGCTCTGAGACGCTGTCCGGCGTGGAGGGCGCTATATAAATCCAAGTTGTTGTTGTTAATAATTTAAACGAAAATGTTAACTGCAAAAAAACTGTGGGTGGCTTGACAGAAGAGTTTTAGTAGGACTATTATATAAGCAATGAGATCAAATTCTATAAAATATAATTTTAACTCACAATGGCAGCCTGTGCAAGTAGTATTGAGGTGCTGTCCCAGGCTACATACTGCTCAACTCCCGACTGAAGCAAAGACTGCAACTGAAACCCTGCATTCTTTATCAGTCTGAGAGAGAGAGAGAGAGAGAAAATACACAATGATAATCATTAAAAGATTTCATACTTTCACAGACCTTTCCTCTTGAGCTACTGAATTATTCAATTGCAGTACTGTACAACTTACCATAATTTTCAGTATCAAAAATGAAAATTCAACATGCAGTTACATTAGCTAGGTTTGAATAAACACGAAAGAGAAACGTTCAGCACAGAAGGAGGCTATTTGGTCCATCGTGTCATACTTCTATACGTATATTAATAAACTGATTTCTTGAAAAAGTTATCTGATTGCTGTTAAACTGACTGATACTCAATACTCTGTCCGAAAAAGGTTGCAGTGAAATTCCTTGGAATATATGACTGCACACCAAAGAATGAGTCACTTTCACCCCTGAAAGCTCCGTATTCGAGTTGATTGAGAAAATATGCACAAATTCATCACTGTAACTACTTATCGATCATTGGACCAACAGTGGATTGCATTCCCACCCCAGCACTGCCCTGACCTCTGTGCTCTATGCTTATATGCCTTGGTGTAAACGGGAGGCTTGATGAAATCGGTTTTCTCTGTTCCACAGCAACGAGTAGAGAAGAGGTCAGACAGATATGACACGGACTGTGGCAAGGGCTGACCAGAATAAACTTTAGAAAGGCAGTTCATTAGAAACCTAAAGAAAAGGGAGCAGGAAAAGAAAAAAATCAGTCACACTTAGCCCAAAATTCAAATGGCAGCCATTCCTCATTCCTCTAAACACTTTGGAGACATCCACGTCACTCTCCTCTGCATTGCAGCCTTATGCTGTAGAGACCAGAAGGGAAGGAAGTACTCAGTTTATATTTACTTTTTAAACACAAATGCAAGAATTTTGCAAGATGCCTGGAATCGACCAGATGAACCGATTTTCATGAACCATTAGCCTTTTCTGGTACTATACATTTCGGCTTTGTGCCAACGGACGACACATTACTGTAATGGTTTAGAAACCTGACGTCTCATAAACAGATGGACGGTAGATTTGAAATAGATTGTACCCGGCATTCTGTCTGCAATCATCCTACATCTCACCGTGCTGTCTGCAGTTGCATAACAGTGTTCTCCCCTTCGTAAGTACAAGACCCTGCAACTCGGGTGTAAAGGGAAGGCAGGCCGCTGAGCAATGAATAGCCGTGACCACCACATGCCCTGCGACAAGTCTCGACTCCAGCGCTGCAGACATCTGACAGCAGAGCTTTCAGGCCCGCAGACAAAGCATGGAGCTATAAAAAAACAAGCAGTCAACACAAGCGCCAGTCAATTCCAGAATAAAACATTTGTGACAACTGCAGTAGCATTATATTGATAGAATAGAAATTTACATGTATGTAGCCTTTCACATCAAGAGGATGCCCCAAAATTAGGTATGGATGCTACTGTATCTATTACTCTAAATACTGAATTGTGCTTAGCTGCACAATAATTTCAGGAATTTAGACTTTATTTTGCAATGACAGGATTTAGATTTTGATTGTTAGGTAAGAAAATAATAGGACCGACAACCTGATCTCGTTTTAAGTGAACCCGAGTTCAGCAATGTGCGTAATAAAAGAATTAGATAAGATTTACAGAAGCAGTGAAGTAATGGAAACTTGTATTGACTGTTTATGCTTATATATTTGTGAACCTCCTTTTGTCTGAATATTGGTTGCACAAATTGGAGTTTTGTCCAAAGGGAATTTAATGAATTCCCTATTTGTTGTTGTTGGTGGTAGTGGTGGGGGGGGGGGATGAGGGGTATCAACTTACTAACAGCAGTCTTTGACGAAAGGTCATTGACCTGGAACATTAACTCACTTTCCTCTTCCCATAGATGCTGCCTGACCTGCTGCAGGTTCCCAGCGACTTTTGTTTTTATTTCAGATTTCCAGCATCTGCAGTATTTTGCCTTTTGTTTAATCTCATGGTTGATGTTTTCATGGCCAAACCATCAGATCCCTGGTTGCAGTTACCATTTCAAATGCCAATTGCCACCATCTCAAACAACAACAACAACAACAACAAGATTCCATTTATAAAGCGCCTTTCACGTCAGGAGGACGTCCCAAGGCGCTGCACAGTTGGGTCATGACCCGAGCAGGGGGGAAATGGTCAGGGTGAGGGGAGGGAAGGGAGGGAGCGAGGAGGGGGAAGAGAGTCGAGAGGGGAGAGTACAATACAATACAGAGAGAAACAATACAAATAAGCACATTTTCAAGATGTTGTTCTACACTTTTCATCCAAATTCTTCACTATCTAGGATTTGTTCCTTGTTGTTAAATCACGGTGAAGTTAAATCTAAGAGAAAAATGGATGAGTGTGGGATGCGCATGATTAATCAAATGCTGAGAACATTTCTGGAAATTGAGACATTTCTGATTCTTAACTTTACAAACCAATTTGATCCATACAGAGTACCTTTATCTATACTTTTTGGCATAGAGTGCCTTGATCTATGTGGTAGAAAAAAGCAAAGTACTGAAATGTTGTTAATATATGCTATACATCTTCTAGCCTTTCTGGGCTCATAGAAGCAATAATGAATTCTGAGCAAGTCAAAGGAGAAAAAGTACAAAGCAATAAAAACGAGCCAGGTTAGATCTGCACACCAAAGCAGACTGAAATTGCATTCCTGGAAACAGTTCTTGATTTTAATAAGACTTATTTTAAACTAAATGAAACATCCAAAGATTTGCACATTTGCCTTCCTGAATGGCGGAATCTAATAAAAACGTGAGTTTTCTGATGTTAATCTTTCACTCCTTTTCCAACTTAAGGATCAGAAATTATTTAATTAAGTCTCCTTGACGGATTTCAGCTTCACTTTGCCAATTTCAAAACTATACTTCATATGGTTTCTGTGTCAAACCAATAGATTTCAGTTGGCAGATGCATCGCAAGACGCTTCTATAACCAGGCCCATTTAAGCATTAATTTTGCTATTGGTGGAACGAGAATAAAGATCAAGAGTAAGAGATCACATTTATTTGCAGAACAAAGAACCAGAAACCTTGTGGAGTTCCAAAGAAGGCAGCACTTGCACTGCCATGCAATTCTCCCGTGTCAGCTATCTCTGCCTTTAGAAAAGCACCATTAGTGATCTTACCTCAGGCAGAGAGGAGAAGTCTCCTTTGCTTTTGATCTGAACTTTAACTTGATTGCAAAAAGCTTCGAAGGAAGAGGCCATGAAATGAAAGGCAAACACTGTTGCCAGCTGGGGGAAGAGCTTCTGCTGTTGCATTTGGTAGTCTAAAATTTTGGTTTCCATTTCTCTGAGGGCAAATCAGAATTTCAATCATAATGGACACAATGGTTATGCTTGTAGCAGATGGGATGAATCAATTTTTTTATTTGTTGTCCCTTTATAATGGACTTATCCCTTGAAGCATTTTTTAAAAACGAATTCAATTTTCACTAAATCCTTGTGGGAAAAGTGTGACTCAGTTAATGATTACCCCGTCAATGGAACATCGGTTTAAAGGGGCACGGACTGAGAGATTACATTATTTGCAAATATATTTGAATCCCCAAGCTAAACAATACACAGGACCCATGTTGATGAGTGATAGCGTCCTGATGTACAGAACTATATAGGCCTCAGTTGTATGTATCTGTATATAATTGTGTAACCAGTAAGTAAAACATGTACTTTGCATTGTATTAAGACCCGAGACAGTGTTTAACTTCACTAAATTAAACAACTGTATAATAAGTAACAAGGGTCATACTTGTTTAAGATGAACAATTAGATAAATGGCAACAGTCAGCGCTTCTGATGTCACTCCCCAAGTGTTTTGTACTGTGCAGAAAGCGATGCTGATGTCACTTCCTTTAAGTGCTCGGATGCTACTCCGTTTGAAGGGCATTATATAAATGCAAGTTGTTGCTGTTCTTTTGTGTGCTATAAACCGCAAGCACCTCCTGTGTGAAATGATGTCAGCACCGTGCTGTGCACGTGCAGAAAGCTGGCCAATCAATGCCAGAAGAAGCCAGAGGTATACTGTTCCTCTGGAAAAGTGTGATTCTCAAACTACTTATAGTATAAACAAACTCACATTGTAACAACAACAACTTGCATTCATGAGGGTAACATCTTGGAGTTCTTTACAAAGACAGGGTCAGACACTAAATGAGGGAGAGGAGGGAGGAGGTGGGCGAGTAGCCATACACTTGTCTAGTTTAATCAATGACAAAAGGTCAATATTTCCAACCTACCCAGGTTTTAGTTTTGATTGGCGTCGGACCACAGAGTACCGGATAGCGATGACGCAGGCTTTGGCCAGAGCAGGTATAATTTCTGCTGACAATAACCTTGTACGGGTCAGAACCATAGAAAAGTAGTTAATTCTGTCAGAACCTCGCTTGACATAGGTACCGTCTGGAGAAACCTGGAACAAAATCAGACTTTAAGACAGGACATGGTTTTCTAGGAGGGATGACACCAGTGAACTTTACTCGCTATTCACACATGCTTTTTAAAAAATAAACAAAATGGAAAATACCTGTGCATTTCCAAGTACACTCTACATGGTTTTGTTCTACCAGAGAATACTTTAAAAAAGTGAAACATGGGCACTAAGTCTACCTTACCATCCCATTCACCATCGTCTCCAAGGGAAAAGTGTTCCAACAGAAACTCCCTATTCCCCTTCAACCAAAACCAAAATATTCATCTATTTATCCCACCCCCACTTCCCCAATCACAACTCAAATCCTCACTATTAAATCTGGCCTCCTTTTCTCCATAGGCATTTTGTATCTGAATCCATGTTAATAGAGTCATTCTAGACCCAAGGTGGAATTTCTACCCCATAATCTCCGAGAAAGATTGTTAAGAGAATGCAATTTATGAAAGATGCTTTATGCTTCACTTAAGAGGTGTAATGCTAAGACCTTACCTCAGAGTATCTGCACAACATATTTTCCCTTGGAATGTGAACATTTTGCAAAATCAGAAACCCATTATCAACTTGGTCAAAATTCATCTTTGGGCCTATATCACCAACTGTGACACCTGGAAACAGATAAAAGACACAAACGTGCTAGCTTCCTTGCATCTATGCAAATCTTGCCAAAAAAAAAGGTTCCAGTATTGATTAAATAAAAAAAGGTTGAATTCATATCTAAAACAGGCACTTAATTCTGAAATCTCACTTATCAGAGATTCAGAGCATCAGGAGATGAAGTACAAGGGCTATGTTACCTGGCAGAGATGAATGGTCTACCAGACTGCGGATCTGTACAATAAAGGCATGCATTCCCTGGCACTTCCCCTGGGTGTACAGCTGGGCCAAGACCAAAGCATGAGTTGCTGACCTGCCCACTGAAAAGAGAAAAGATCTGAAGATGTACTGATACGAATTGTGATTAAATGCAAGACATTTATCCCAAAGCTTCATTTTGTCTCATCACCGTCAGTTTCAAAATGAAAGAGTTGAATATTGAACATCAATCCCTGAGCATCCCTCTCATTCATTCGTTCAATAAACTTTTGGAAATAAGAGTAAATTAAGAAGAACTTTGAAGAATAAGCATCTTGTTTACAGCATTAATTTGCTTATATGTTACAATTCGTGCAGAATTTCACTTATCTGCTCAAAGTAAATATGTGGTTAAATTCAATGTCAGTTAAAATAAGTAACCCTCGGAGACTGGTTATGCTTACAGTCACCAGGCCACCACTTAATTGAGGACAGTCTCGGCATGTTGATCACAAACTCCTGATTAGAAGGGTCGAAGGTTACAGTTGTCTCCAGGCCTCGAAGATATGTGCCTTAAAATCAATAGCAGATACAAGCTTTACAAGAAAGAGAATGTTAAAAACTCACACAATTACAGTAGGAAATCAATCTAATAATAATAATCCTTGCATTTGATACAGCGGTTTTCACGTCTTCTAGATGACTCAAAGCGCTTCATAGAACAGTCTGTAAAGTGAATTGAATGTATATTTGTGGGTGAAATGCAGCAGTCAATTGCGCACAGCAGTGTCCCACAAACAGTTGTGGATTGAAGTGACCAATTTTATTATTTTTTTTCTTGAGGGATTATTATTAGGTGTGTGGAGTAAGGAAACTTGCCCAAGGTTTCACCCTGCTGGGAATCGAACGCAGTTCTCTCGCTTGTGAGGCGAGAGCTCTAACCACTGATCTACAAGACTCCACTACTCCTGCAGGCAGAACACATTTATGTGGGTAAATTGTAATGTCCACTTTTGATTCATGTAACCAGTTTTTCCAAGCATTAGGAAACAGTCCTAGAAACATATAGTTCAGGAAAGAAGCATATTACAGCCTGCATTTGTTGTTGCCAGGATTAGTTCAATGAAACAAGTATGCTTCAGAGATCAGGAATTCACTCTTGCTAGGACTCACACAGTAAACCACTGATCCACAGCAGAGAGGCATAGCTCCTGCCACCTACTTAGCTGTTCTCTTACTGTTAGCCCATTGAACAACGAATTGTAAAGACAAAATCAAGCTAACATTACAGAATAACTGTGTGAAAAACTCTTTGTTGAAATATTCCAGCATTGCTTATTTACCATGGCCCAGCTCTGTCTGTGCATATGTTCCAATAATCTGCAAATCCTGGGCTAGTGGTACCCATTTAGCAATCTGTGCCTCTATTCCCAGTTCCTTGATGGTAGGTATAAATACTCCATTGTGGATTCCAAAGGCGACATCTGCTCCCAAAACCCTAGAATGACATAGAATCACTGTCATTGGGAGTTGCTTGTGAGAATGCGGTAATAATAATAATAATAATCCTTGCATTTGATATAGCGCTTTTCACGTCGGGAGGACGTCCCAAAGCGTTTCACAGAACACACTGTAAAGTGAATCGACTGTATATTTGTGGGTGAACGCGGCAGCCAATTGCGCACAGCAATGTCCCACAAACAGTCGTGGATTGAAAATGACCAATTTATTATTGTTTTTGGTTTTGGAGGGATTATTATTAGGCTGTGTGGAGTGAGCGTGAGAAACATTGATTACATATGCTTCATACAGGTATGATCCATATATAACTGATCAATGTTTATTGAAACAATATTGTTCTCGCAATGATCAGCCTTTATAGTTTTCAATTACATGCCCATGTACTCAATTACTCACTGTATTGTCATTTATACCTCGACTTTCCTGTGATACTTGGATGAAACTTTATTCCTTGGAGCATTTCGGCAATTTATTTGCACAGAATTCATTTCATTTGCAAGCACTGGGTAATGTGCTGAGCAGCTGTTAGCATCCACTGTCAGCATTTAGCTGGGATTATATTCCCTTCATTTTCGGTGTATGATGCAAATGCCAATAAACTTCCGGAAATTAAAATACAGAGAATATTCCGGTTATAGTCAAACAATTGGGATGCAGCTGGTATTGAGAATAAATGCTCACGTTTCAGAAGAGTATTTTACATCCATTTCTAAGAAGAAGCACGTTGTAATTCAGAGGTAGGAGGTGGACTAAAATTGAGTTGTGAGGTTTAATATGACAGCAGCAGAATAATCTAAATAATAACAATAATCTACCCGTTCTCCCATGAATCAAACATTTCACTCTCTATCAGTACCTTTGGCCCATACATGTACTGTAATCATATGGTTGCCCCAAGGCAGTCAATCCTTTATGAAGCCTGAACATGAGGTTAGATAATAATAATCCTTGCATTTGATATAGCGCTTTTCATGTTTTCGAGACGTCTTAAAACGCTTCACAGAATAGACTGTAAAGTGAATTGACTGTATATTTGTGGACAAAACGCAGCAGCCAATTGCGCACAGCAGTGTCCCACAAACAGTCGTGGATTGAAGTGACCAAATCATTATTGTTTTTTTTTCTTGAGGGATTATTATCAGATTTGTGCAGTAAGAAAATTTGCCCAAGGTTTCGCCCTGCCGGGAATCAAACCCAGGTCTCTCGCTTGCAAAGCGAGTGCTCTAACCACTGAACTACAGGACTCCTGTACTGTAATGTCAAATGGTTGGCCCAAGGCAGTTAATCCTTCATGAAACCTGACCAATAGTCAGAGCAGCTTCTTGCTGGTTACAGAAACTTTTCAACTGGAGCCTCCATGAACCCAGTACACATTGAGAAAAATGTCTCTCTCGCTCGCTCGCTCTCTTGCACATAGTCTTATATACTGGTTCATGTTTACACTCCCCTGCACTCAAACAAAACAATACTTTTATTTTAAAAATGTACCTAAAAGCAAACATTGCTTCAGTCCCATTGTCAGCCCAACCCAGTTCTTTCATCTTCTCCCGCAGACGCACAGCCCTTCGCACTGATCCTTCATACTGCTCCACTCGAGTCAAGAAATACCGATCATCTTGACTGAAAGTGGAATCACTGTTTATAATACTCTCTTTAATAAAGCAAAAAAAAGCAGAATTAAAATACTTTTGCTACTTAGCTAATCAAATTTTTTTTTGCAAATCCTGTGAAGTTCAGGAAATCCCTCCTCAACCTCCCTGGGCTCTCCCTCACACTCCCCGAACCAGTGCACAATCTAGGTATCCGGTTCGACCCCCAGCTGTCCTTCCTGTCCCACATCCAGTCCCTGATCAGGTCCGCCTCCTTCCACTTCCGCCACATTGCCCACCTCCGACTGTATCTTACCCCAATTGCACCTGAAACCCTCGTGCATACATTTGTCATTTCCCGCCTGGATTCCTCAAATGCACTCCTCGCCGGTCTCCCCAGCTCCACTATTCAAAAAGTCCAGCTCATTCAGAACTCTGCTGTCCGCATACTTACCCGGATCAAACTCCGTAGCCACATCTCACCAGTTCTGGCTCAGGCTCCACATCACTGAACGGATCGACTTCAAGAGCCTCACACTCGTATTCAAATCCATTCATTCCCTGACACCTCCCGACCTCTCCAATCTCCTCACTCCCCAATCCACCACCCAGTGCCTCTGCTCGAGTGGCACCGGCCTCCTGCTCGCCCCTCGCACCCTTTGCCCCACCATCAGAGGTTGCGCTTTCTGCCATTACACCCTGAAACTCTGGAACACTCTCCCTCAATCCCTCTGCCTTGCGCCCCCCTCTCCCCTTTTTCAAGGTTCGCTTGAAAACTCTCCTCTTAGACTGTGCTTGTGGGCACTTCCCTCAGGGCTGGGGGTCCGGCTGTTAAGCGCTGTGAGACGCTACCCTGGTGGAGGGAGCTATGTAGGTGCGAGTTGTTGTTCAGAAACAGCAGCTGTGGCCCCGTTTCCAATCAATATCCTAAATCCAAATTTGGATTCAGTTTTACTCTGCGTTGAATTTCGAAGCATTCAGAACTCAGAAAATTGTTGAATTCAGTGTTAACTTTATAGTCGGATTTCTGTAAGAACTCACTGAAAACTGGATTCAAAATTAAGGTTATACTTTCTCTGCCCTTTGTTGGGGAGAAAAAGTACTTTTTTTTAACTAATCCTCGAAATTTTGGGCGCTCTAAAATACTACATAAACAGTAAATCTCTACAAGTGGCGCAAGTGAAATGTATTCTGGGACACGTGAGAGTGGATCGTATGATTAAAATATATAAAACGAAGAGGGATTCGTTTTTTAAAAGCAATTGTATCCCAAAACAACTGAGGATTCCCTTTGCAGCAATTTACTTGAATTTTTAAACCATTCAATAAAGTTTTAACAGTTCTGTAGCAGAAGACGCGGTGTTACACTGGAGGAGTGTCACCAACACTCCCAAACCAAGTCTGTCAGCGAAGTGAAGCGGTGCCGAGAGCCGCGACACCCGCACTGGGGGGACGGAGCCCCGGAACCAGCGGCAGCGGCTCAGCTCTGTGCCGCGGACCCCCGACTCACCCACATGTCTCCTGGTGGCTGTGAGCTCGGCGCCGCCGTCCAGCAGGTTGGTGACCCTCTCCACCGGGAAGGAGGGGGATGTCCTTTCGCTGTGAATGTCGGGGTTTACGCCGCTCTGCGCTGAGGGACCCGCGGCCTCCGAGTCGCCCTCCATGTCGTCTCCTCCGTTCACAAACGCTTCGGCCGCGGAGGAGCAGAGCGCCCCCTGGAGGCCACCGCGACCCGCCCCAGCCCCGCCTGCTCAGCGCTGTTCTGATTGGCCGGAGGAGCCGTCAATCAAAGCCCGAACTGCCTGTCCATCACTGACAGCACCGGGTGGTGCAGGTGCTGACCACTGACCAGGTGCTGACCAGTCACCAGGTGCTGACCAGTGACCAGGATCTGGCAGTGACCAGGTGCTGACAGTGACCAGGTGCTGACCAGTGACCAGGTGCTGACAGTGACCAGTTGCTGACAGTGACCAGGTGCTGACCAGTGACCAGGTGCTGACAGTGACCAGGTGCTGACAGTGACCAGGTGCTGACAGTGACCAGGTGCTGACAGTGACCAGGGACTGACCAGTGACCAGGTGCTGACAGTGACCAGGTGCTGACAGTGACCAGGTGCTGACCAGTGACCAGGTGCTGACAGTGACCAGGTGCTGATAGTGACCAGGTGCTGACCAGTGACCAGGTGCTGACCAGTGACCAGGTGCTGACAGTGACCTGGTGCTGACCAGTGACCAGGTGCTGACCAGTGACCAGGGACTGACCAGTGACCAGGGACTGACCAGTGACCAGGGGCTGGCAGTGACCAGGGGCTGACCAGTGACCAGGTGCTGACAGTGACCAGGTGCTGACAGTGACCAGGTGCTGACCAGTGACCAGGTGCTGACCAGTGACCAGGGACTGACCAGTGACCAGGGGCTGGCAGTGACCAGGTGCTGACAGTGACCAGGTGCTGACAGTGACCAGGTGCCGACCAGTGACCAGGTGCTGACAGTGACCAGGTGCTGACCAGTAACCAGGTGCTGACAGTGACCAGGGACTGACCAGTAACCAGGGGCTGGCAGTGACCAGGGGCTGACCAGTGACCAGGTGCTGACAGTGACCAGGTGCTGACAGTGACCAGGTGCTGACCAGTGACCAGGGACTGACCAGTGACCAGGTGCTGACCAGTGACCAGGTGCTGACAGTGACCAGGTGCTGACCAGTGACCAGGTGCTGACAGTGACCAGGTGCTGACAGTGACCAGGGACTGACCAGTGACCAGGTGCTGACCAGTGACCAGGTGCTCAGTGACCAGGTGCTGACATTGACCAGGTGCTGACAGTGACCAGGTGCTGACCAGTGACCAGGTGCTGACCAGTGACCAGGGACTGACCAGTGACCAGCGGCTGACCAGTGACTAGGTGCTAGCAGTGACCAGGGGCTGACCAGTGACCAGGTGCTGACCAGTGACCAGGTGCTGACCAGTGACCAGGGACTGACCAGTGACCAGGGGCTGGCAGTGACCAGGGGCTGACCAGTGACCAGGTGCTGACAGTAACCAGGTGCTAACACTGACATGGTGCGGACACTGACCCAGGTGCTGACAGTGACCAGGTGCTGACAGTGACCAGGTGCTGACAGTGACCAGGGACTGACCAGTGACCAGGGACTGACCATTGACCAGGGGCTGGCAGTGACCAGGTGCTGACAGTGACCAGGTGCTGACCAGTGACCAGGGACTGACCAGTGACCAGGGACTGACCAGTGACCAGGGGCTGGCAGTGACCAGGTGCTGACAGTGACCAGGTGCTGACCAGTGACCAGGTGCTGACAGTGACCAGGTGCTGACCAGTGACCAGGTGCTGACATTGACCAGGTGCTGACAGTGACCAGGTGCTGACCAGTGACCAGGGGCTGACCAGTGACCAGGTGCTGACAGTGACCAGGTGCTGACCAGTGACCAGGTGCTGACATTGACCAGGTGCTGACAGTGACCAGGTGCTGACCAGTGACCAGGGACTGACCAGTGACCAGGTGCTGACCAGTGACCAGGTGCTGACCAGTGACCAGGTGCTGACAGTGACCAGGTGCTGATAGTGACCAGGTGCTGACCAGTGACCAGGTGCTGACCAGTGACCAGGTGCTGACAGTGACCTGGTGCTGACCAGTGACCAGGTGCTGACCAGTGACCAGGGACTGACCAGTGACCAGGGACTGACCAGTGACCAGGGGCTGGCAGTGACCAGGGGCTGACCAGTGACCAGGTGCTGACAGTGACCAGGTGCTGACAGTGACCAGGAGCTGACAGTGACCAGGTGCTGACAGTGACCAGGTGCGACCAGTGACCAGGTGCTGACAGTGACCAGGTGCTGACCAGTGACCAGGTGCTGACAGTGACCAGGTGCTGACAGTGACCAGGTGCTGACCAGTGACCAGGTGCTGACCAGTGACCAGGGACTGACCAGTGACCAGGGACTGACCAGTAACCAGGGGCTGGCAGTGACCAGGGGCTGACCAGTGACCAGGTGCTGACCAGTGACCAGGTGCTGACCAGTGACCAGGGACTGACATTGATCAGGTGCTGACAGTGACCAGGTGCTGACCAGTGACCAGGTGCTGACCAGTGACCAGGGACTGACCAGTGACCAGGGGCTGACCAGTGACTAGGTGCTGGCAGTGACCAGGGGCTGACCAGTGACCAGGGGCTGACCAGTGACTAGGTGCTGGCAGTGACCAGGGGCTGGCAGTGACCAGGTGCTGACAGTGACAAGGTGCTGACCAGTGACCAGGTGCTGACCAGTGACCAGGTGCTGACAGTGACCAGGTGCTGACATTGACCAGGTGCTGACAGTGACCAGGTGCTGACCAGTGACCAGGTGCTGACCAGTGACCAGGGACTGACCAGTGACCAGCGGCTGACCAGTGACTAGGTGCTAGCAGTGACCAGGGGCTGACCAGTGACCAGGTGCTGACCAGTGACCAGGTGCTGACCAGTGACCAGGGACTGACCAGTGACCAGGGACTGACCAGTGACCAGGGACTGACCAGTGACCAGGGGCTGACAGTGACCAGGTGCTGACCAGTGACCAGGTGCTGACAGTAACCAGGTGCTAACACTGACATGGTGCGGACACTGACCAGGTGCTGACAGTGACCAGGGGCTGCAGTGACCAGGTGCTGACAGTGACCAGGTGCTGACCAGTGACCAGGGACTGACCAGTGACCAGGGACTGACCAGTGACCAGGGGCTGGCAGTGACCAGGTGCTGACAGTGACCAGGTGCTGACCAGTGACCAGGTGCTGACAGTGACCAGGTGCTGACAGTGACCAGGTGCTGACCAGTGACCAGGGACTGACCAGTGACCAGGTGCTGACCAGTGACCAGGTGCTGACCAGTGACTGACCAGTGACCAGGGGCTGACCAGTGACCAGGTGCTGACAGTGACCAGGTGCTGACCAGTGACCAGGTGCTGACAGTGACCAGGTGCTGACAGTGACCAGGTGCTGACCAGTGACCAGGGCCTGACCAGTGACCAGGTGCTGACAGTGACCAGGTGCTGACCAGTGACCAGGTGCTGACATTGACCAGGGGCTGACAGTGACCAGGAGCTGACAGTGACCAGGTGCTGACCAGTGACCAGGGGCTGACCAGTGACCAGGTGCTGACCAGTGACCAGGTGCTGACCAGTGACCAGGTGCTGACCAGTGACCAGGGACTGACCAGTGACCAGGGACTGACCAGTGACCAGGGACTGGCAGTGACCAGGGACTGACCAGTGACCAGGGGCTGGCAGTGACCAGGTGCTGACCAGTGACCAGGTGCTGACCAGTGACCAGGGACTGACATTGACCAGGTGCTGACAGTGACCAGGTGCTGACCAGTGACCAGGTGCTGACCAGTGACCAGGGACTGACCAGTGACCAGGGGCTGACCAGTGACTAGGTGCTGGCAGTGACCAGGGGCTGACCAGTGACCAGGGCTGACCAGTGACTAGGTGCTGGCAGTGACCAGGGGCTGGCAGTGACCAGGTGCTGACAGTGACAAGGTGCTGACCAGTGACCAGGTGCTGACCAGTGACCAGGTGCCTTTCAGTGACCAGGTGCTGACATGACCAGGTGCTGACAGTGACCAGGTGCTGACCAGTGACCAGGGGCTGACCAGTGACTAGGTGCTGGCAGTGACCAGGGGCTGACCAGTGACCAGGGGCTGACCAGTGACTAGGTGCTGGCAGTGACCAGGGGCTGGCAGTGACCAGGTGCTGACAGTGACAAGGTGCTGACCAGTGACCAGGTGCTGACCAGTGACCAGGTGCCTTTCAGTGACCAGGTGCTGACATTGACCAGGTGCTGACAGTGACCAGGTGCTGACCAGTGACCAGGTGCTGACCAGTGACCAGGGACTGACCAGTGACCAGCGGCTGACCAGTGACTAGGTGCTAGCAGTGACCAGGGGCTGACCAGTGACCAGGTGCTGACCAGTGACCAGGTGCCTTTCAGTGACCAGGTGCTGACATTGACCAGGTGCTGACAGTGACCAGGTGCTGACCAGTGACCAGGTGCTGACCAGTGACCAGGGACTGACCAGTGACCAGCGGCTGACCAGTGACTAGGTGCTAGCAGTGACCAGGGGCTGACCAGTGACCAGGTGCTGACCAGTGACCAGGTGCTGACCAGTGACCAGGTGCTGACCAGTGACCAGGGACTGACCAGTGACCAGGGACTGACCAGTGACCAGGGACTGACCAGTGACCAGGGGCTGGCAGTGACCAGGGGCTGACCAGTGACCAGGTGCTGACAGTGACCAGGTGCTGACAGTGACCAGGTGCTGACAGTGACCAGGTGCTGACAGTGACCAGGTGCCGACCAGTGACCAGGTGCTGACAGTGACCAGGTGCTGACCAGTAACCAGGTGCTGACAGTGACCAGGTGCTGATAGTGACCAGGTGCTGACCAGTGACCAGGTGCTGACCAGTGACCAGGGACTGACCAGTGACCAGGGACTGACCAGTAACCAGGGGCTGGCAGTGACCAGGGGCTGACCAGTGACCAGGTGCTGACCAGTGACCAGTGCTGACCAGTGACCAGGGACTGACATTGATCAGGTGCTGACAGTGACCAGGTGCTGACCAGTGACCAGGTGCTGACCAGTGACCAGGGACTGACCAGTGACCAGGGGCTGACCAGTGACTAGGTGCTGGCAGTGACCAGGGGCTGACCAGTGACCAGGGGCTG